ATCATCTCATGCCAGTTAGAATGGTGATCATTAAAACATCTGGAGACAACAGATGCTGGGGAGGATGTGGAGAAATAGGAACACTTTTACACTGTTGGAGTGTAAATTAGTTTAAACATTGTGGAAGACAGTGTGACAATTCCTCAAGGATCTAGAAATAGAAATGCCACTTGACCCAGCAATCCCATTACTGGGTATATACCTGAAGGATTATAAATCATTCTGTTATAAAGACACATGCACATGTATGCTCATTGTGGCACTGTGTACTATATAGCAAAGACCTGGAACCAACCCAAATGCCCATCTATGATAGACTGGACAAAGAAAATGTGGCATATATACACCATGGACTACTACGCAGCCCTAAAAGATGATAAGTTTGTGTTCTTTTTAGGGACTTGGATGAATCTGGAAACCATCACTCTCAGCAAACTGACACAAGAACAGAAAACCAAACACCGCATGTTCTCACTCATAGGCAGGTGTTGAACAATGAGAACACATGGACTTGGAGAGAGGAGCATCACACACTGGGGTCAGTTGAGGAGGACTAGAGGAGGGACAGTGGGGAATGGAGAGGGCGGGGAGGGATAACATGGGGAGAAATGCTGGATATAGATGAAGGGGGAATGGAGGCAGCAAACCACCTGGTTATGTATGCACCTATGCAACAACCCTGCATGATCTGCACGTGTACCCCAGAACCTAAAGTACAATAATTTAAAAAGAGTCCCTGTCTTCATAAAGCATAAATTATAAGTGAAACAGTCAGATAAATAAATGAGAAAAAATTTAGAATATCAGATGGTGACAAGTGCATTGGAGAAATATGAAGTATATAGTAGGGTGAAGGAGGGTGATAAGGGTTGGGGCATGTTGCTATTCTAAACAGGTGGCAACAGAAGACCTCCTAAAAAAGTTGGCATTTGAACAGGCACTGAAGGCTGTGGCTGCCAGGGGAAGGGCATTACAGCCAGAAAGAATAGGAAGTGCAAAAGTCTGGGAGAAGAAATGTGCTCACAGCAGCTGTACAAGGTAGGTGTTACCTTCATTTTGCACAGAAGAAAATTAAATCCAGAAAATGTAAGTAACTTGTCTAAGGGCTTATACTAATAAGTGGCACGTTACGGACTTGAACTAAAATCTCCCGAATTTAAAAATCTATGTTCTATTTCAATACACTCCCTCTGTGCAACTTTTACTCATTACAATAAAAGAATACAAAAGGAATACACACACGCGCACACACACACACACACACACACACACACACATATTCTAAAAGAAACATGGTGGTAGATACTGAAGAGTAACTGTTTCCATAGCAATTCAGGCTCTTTCTAGAGTGACCTCTTGTTCAGTAGGAAGTAGAGAGGTAAAACTAGGGTCTTTGCTTGTAGCCTCTTTTCAACTAAACAGACCACCTACGAGACTCAGAGGTAAGCTTGAGTCTAATGAAGTCATGACAGTGTGGCTCTTTGGGAAACTGGGTGATGCCAGTGGAAATGTTGCTTCTTCTAAGCTATGGCCTTTGGTCAGTCTAATCTTGTAGTACTGAGTGGCAGTTATGCAGCTTTCTGACTTGGGAACTTTTGCAGTAGTAGCAGAGGCCCTGTGGATCTTGTCAGCTGTGGTGACAGCAGCTGCCCTCTTTCTCAGGCCAGTTTGGCATTTCACTTCTAGAAGTCATGCCTAGAGGCTCAGCCTAGAGCCTTACTCTCTAGTCTTTCCACTAATACCCTAAATAAATTCCTTTCTTCATAAATTAGTTAGGATGGCCTCTGTTGTCTGCCACTGAACCCTAAATAGTACAGCAACTGGCATAGAAATGGGGTGAATACGATTCTCTTTGATGATTTTGAGCAGGCTTCCAGTTTACTTTCAGTTGTATGCGTATGGCCAGCTCACCTGTTTTGTTCCCATGATCCACATTCTTGTCCGTTGTAGTTTTGTGAGTACCATTTTCTTATTATTGTAGCCATGCCTTCTTTTGTCTCTGCTACTCCAAGACTCCCATCATAATCCGGGAGTCTACTTCTTTTTTTTTTTTTTTTTTTGAGACGGAGTTTCGCTCTTGTTGCCCAGGCTGGAGTGCAATGGCGCGGTCTCGGCTCACCGCAACCTCTGCCTCCTGGGTTCGGGCAATTCTCCTGCCTCAGCCTCCTGAGTAGCTGGGATTACAGGCACGTGCCACCATGCCCAGCTAATTTTTTTTTTTTTTTTTAGAAGAGACGGGGTTTCACCATGTTGACCAGGATGGTCTCGATCTCTTGACCTCGTGATCCACCCGCCTCAGCCTCCCAAAGTGCTGGGATTACAGGCGTGAGCCACTACTTCTGATGCAATGTCTTTACCTTTGTCCTTGACCTGTTTCTATTATACTTTCCAAAGGTGCTGGTACTTTCATCACTAAAGTATTTTTCAATGCTCTGTGGAAATACCCTTTCAAGATATAGGGTACATGTGAATGTAATGTGTGATGAATCTACTGCAGCAATCCCATCTCTAGAAATCTTTGAATTCTTCCTCTACATCATACCAAGGAATTGTTATTCTCTCAACTTTATTTTTCCAAGGCCATTGTTGCCTACAGATTTTGATCCACCAAGAGAGAAACTAATTAGAATCACTTCCAGCAGCCTGATCTAGTCCACTGAGTTGAGAGTCTCTTCCAAGTGTATCTGCATCAATTTATTTAGCTTCAAATGGAATTATGTTCCTCTATCCTTGGTCTACCATTCTCAGCAAAATATACAGATTTGTGCATTAAAATTAATAATTTAAAGAAATTCTATTAAATCTAATTCTTCCTTTTTTGGGGATTTACTGTGCAATTGGCTGTCTACAACACATTGGGATAGTAAATTAAATTGTTGCTTCTATACTTTTAAGGAAGAAGCCCAACATTTGATAGGCCTCAGGATCTTGGAAGCATCAGACATCACATTTTGTTGCCTTTTCTGATTTAATAACTGAATAACTCATAAACCTACCATCTTTGAGTGGGCCCCTGAGCAACCAAGGGGTCTTTAGTTTGTCTAGGCTACAGTGCAAGCAGCACTGACCTTGGCTTTTAGGATCCAGCATATCTAAAGAGCCCAAAAGTGTTGTGGCTGATCAGCGTGTAGTGTAAAGGTTACAGTAAGGCTCTATAGGAGAATCACAGTTGAGAACTGCAGGATTTTGAAGCGAAGCTATGTTCTCTTCAAGCAGCTTTTTTTTTTTTTTTTTTTTTCACTGAACACTTGAACATGGCCCACCAGAGACCTGAGCTGTTCCCCATGAACTGAAAGCTGTCTGATTCACTAAGCAAAAATTTATGACATATTGAGGATTATTCCATTATTAAGTGGAAGTGATTTGCAGGAGGTCTCACTCCAGAATCATCTGAAAGCAATGGTAAGTTGAATAAACATTGAATAGCTCGTATCCTGCTGCTCTTTCACCTCTGTCTCTGAACCAGCAACTACGACCTGGTGGTGAGTTCCCTAAGACCAATTGAGAGAGGAGGAAAAAAACTATCTGGTTTTATATATGCCCTCATATCAGCTAAGGGCAACAATTGCAGCACTGCAGCCACATTCGGGAATCCCTGGAGGATTGTGACAAAAATGGGTGTTCCCAGTGTTCCACTTTGCCTGGAAGATGAGATGTCCAGAGGTGAGGATCTACTCTGATTCATGAGCAGTGGCTAGTGTATGGAGCTGTATGGCCAGGAATTTGGAAAGAATAAAACTGGAAGATTCGGGAAGAATCATATTGTTGGATGTCTTTGAATGGATCCAGAGTACAAGAATATTTGTGTTTTATGAGAATACTCACCCAAAGCCTTACTGAGGAAGATCTCAGTAATCAGGAGACTGTGATCACCTGCTCTGGCTGAATGTCAGGCAGCCTTTTTCTCCACTTACTCCACGGATTGTTCAAAGGGCTCATGAATGAAGCAGCCTTGGTGGAAGGTGCAGAGGTTATGTAAGGATTCGGTAACATAATTTCACCCAGGCCGCTCTGACCACTGCTGAGTGCCCAATTGACAGACATAGAGGACAAATCAGATCCTCAGAAACCCACGTGCTCTGTGGTAGTAGATTGTTTGCATTGGATCCCGTTCATCCGGGAGAGAGCAATGATTTTCCCCACTGACACAGATGATTCATTCATTTAAAAATATCGATTAAACACCTACTGTGAAATAGGCAGAATTCTGGGTACCTGTGGTATGTCAATGAACAAAGAGAACAAAGGTTGTTGCCCTTAAAAGTAAAAAGTAAATCTGGGTAATAGAGACTGGAGGCACTGAAGATGGGGGGGAAGTAGTTTCCAAATTTACATGTGACTCAAAGCCTTGAGTCACCAGGGCAGACCTCAAAGCCTTGGTGGTTATCTGGGAGGAAGAGCATTCTAAGGAGAGAGGAGCCCGTGCAAAGACCTCAAGCAGGCGTTTTCCTGGTGTGTGTAAGAAGCAATGTAGAAGGCAGGGCTTCCTCAGTGAAGTGCTAAGGGGAAGAGTGGCAGGAGACTGGAGGCAATGGGGGCAACTGGGTGGAGACTTGTGGGCACCTAGGGCCTCTGGCTTTCACCGTAAGAAAGATGGGAGGCACTGCAGGGTTTTGAGCACAGTGACCGCAGTGCTGAGAACGGGCTGTAGGGAGGAAAGGGATAAGGAAGGGAGACACACAGCCACCGCTGTGACAGAAGTGAGCAAGCGGCACCTCAGATGGGTAGAAGCCTGGGGTGGTAAAATGAGGTGGTCTTCTGGGTGTAGATATTTTAACTCTTTATATGGAAAATTAAAAGCATCCAAAAGTAAAGACTAGTATAAGCCTCCTCTTCTTCCCATAACATACCCATCACCCAGCTCCAGAAATGGTGCACACATGACTGATCCTGCTACATCTATACCTATCCACTTCCTACCCACCCTCCACCCTCATCTCATCGGGTTATTTCAAACCAAATCACACCATTTTATCTACTAATTTAATGTACAGTGAATCTACATTAATAACCTTTCATATAATACTTCAGTAAGCTCTAAAAATGAGTATCCTTTTGTTTTTATGAAAACATCACTAAAATAAACTATCACATCCAAAACATATGACAATTTCTTAATATTAGTGTACCAAGTTTCCTTAGTATTTCATGGGTGATTTTTTTCTTAACTCGATTTGAGTCAGGATCCAAACAAGGCCCATGCATTCCTTTTGGTTGATATGTCGCAAGTCTCATTTAATTTATATGCCTTCTCCTTTTCTTTTTCTCTTTTCTTAGAGTGATACATGTGACAAATTCATACATTCATATGATTTGTAAAGATCAAATCAGTGTAATTGTGATATCTATCACCTTAAATATTTTTATGTCTTTTATGTTGGAAATATTCTAATTAACTTTCTTCATTTTTCTTCTCTCTCGCTTTCTTCCTCCCTTTCTTCTCTTCTTTTTTTTTTTTTTCATGTATTTGTTCAAGAAGCCAGGTCATTTTGACCTATAGAACTTTTCCTCGGTGTGTGTTTTGCTGGTTGCAATCCCATGATGTTACTTAAACAAGTTCCTTTTTCCCTATGCATTTTCTATAAACAAGTATTTAGTGAGAACGATTTGAATGGATTCAGTTTTCATACTGGGGGCATGGGTACTTTGTAGGTGGTATTGCACACTTCCATCAGGAGACCTATAACATTGGGCTGCTAGTTTTTGTCAATTATTCAACCAGTAGGTGTTATCATGAAACATCTATACGAAATTGTGATTTCCTATTTCTTTCATTCTTTCTTCGTTTATTGCAAGAATTATTCTCACATAAACTAATTAGTAACTCAAAGACACAGTTCCCACAAGAAAAGCAACTTTATTTCCTTTCAGTAGGGAATGGTATTTAGAGAATAAAACCTCTGCAAGGAGTGCTTATTGCTAATGGGTTGGTAATTATTTCTAGGCCTTTTCAGTGAACAAATGTAAGAAATACTTATCTTTTTTTTTTTTTTTAAGGCAGAGGTCATTATGAGTTTATACTAATATTTTCAATTCAAATTTAGGTTTGCAGAGTTGTTACTTAAGTTTTTAATTTTATGTGTATGTCTCTTTTCTCTAATGTTGCAAGTCTTTGCCCCAATGACATTAACATGATTATCGTTTGCTTTTGGAAACGCAGCCTTGAGCTTGCATCTCCAGCTCTTCTGATGTCCTCTTTTAAATTCCTCTCTCTGTAAACCATTTCAGGTGGGTTCTTTTATCTGCAACTGAATCCTGACAGTGTAAGCTGTGAGGGCAGAAGTGAAGGGGTTTTGCATTGTCTGTGCAGTACCTGTGCAGCCACTCACAGTTAAACAAACGGATACAATTGAATCTCCAGTGAGAGAATTCTTGTAGATGTATTAAGCAGAGATCCAGGTCACCCAGCCTTTTTCATCTCTGCGCAAATCCTAGTTCACCAAAATTTGTGCTTCTGTTTGTCAAACCAGTCCTTCTCTCTATGCCTCATCTCTAAAGCAGACTCTAGGAAATATATTACGTCAGACCCATAGCAAGTAATACAGGGTCTTCTCTTAACTGTGGATCCTGGTCATTTTAGTGAAGTCTTTCAGAGGCCATCCCATCCCAACTTCAGAGTAGATGAATGAGTACTCCTGGGAGTCAATGTATATGGGTGAGAAGAATTGGAAAGCTGGAATGAGTTGCTCATTCCAGGGGCTGTGAGGACTTCACTGGGCCTGGGGCTTTGGATAAGGGACAAATCACATGAGTAGGACATTCTCCTAACTCTTCATTCTCATAACATTCTTCGTCCTTAGAGCTGACCTTTCCAGCTGAGTTATCTGGGTGTTGTGCCTTCACCTTAGTGTAGACAACTGAGGCATCCTGGAATGGAAGAAAGAAGTGGAAACAGACAGGGAGTGTGAGGCAGCAAGTGATGGTGGAGATAAAACAGTGCGGAAATAAAACTCACCTTATCCTCCAGAAGTGCCCTGGAGATATTAGCTGTGGAGAGAAAGAGAATCACTCAACTATGGGCATAAGGATGAAGTTAGAACTCAGTCTGTGAGCTGATTCCCTAGAGTCCTGGAGCCACTGGGCCCTGTCCATTGATTATCATGTTTCCCCACCTCATCCCTTGACATGTCCTTCAATACATTTGACTTTCCATTCTATCATTTCTTAACCCAGCCCTCTGCAAGTTCTTTTCAAGCTCCATTGATCTGTTAAGTCCTCCCTTAGTGCCACGCTAAGAAACCTCACACCCTCCTTCTGCCAGATATCGAGAGATTCTTTTTCTCTTAGTTTTAGTTCTTGCTTCTCTTAGCTTACAATACTGTCATCTCACTACCCCCAGTGGTTTGGCAAGTTCCCTTTACAGTGCTCCATATGCATGCCCTGTGAGGAGAAACTCTCTCCTACATTAGCCAAGTTCTAGTTCTTGATTTTACTCCCATGGTTTCCTAGAGATGGAGCCAGAGTGAGGGGAAAGTTCAGCAGATATGATTTGTTGAACCATCCCTATGAGAAACTAAGAGTCTCAGAGTAAAAGGTAGAATGATCAGAGCAGTGTAGTAATTTTATGGAGAGATAGAGCCTGAAAAAAACATACACTCCGGGGCACTTGATGTTTCTCTGTTTCTTACTGTATTGTTACCATATTCTTAACCCAAACCTTTTGGGATTACAGATATTTTTAATGATATGAAGAAAACTATGTACTCTCCCCAGAATAATGGTCATATGCACAAAACTTTGCGTGTGATGTCAGGGGCGTCATGTAAACCTTGAGGAACAGGTGAGGAAACCATTCTACAGGTCATTAATACTTCAAGTTTCTGAAATATAATGAGTCCATTCACAGAATGCTTGGCTTAAATGGTGTTTTGATAAATATGTCAAGGAAAGAGTGTATTTTGTATTTCTACTAAAAATACCAAAATTAGCTAGATGTGGTGGCTCATGGCTGTAACCTCAGCTACTTGGGAAGCGGAGGCACAAGAACTGCTTGAACCTGAGAGGCGCAGGTTGCTTTGAGCTAAGATCGCACCACTGTACTTTACATTGTAATGTCTGTACAATCCAAGAAGGAATTAGACATAATCCATACTCCAAATCCTAAAACTGAGACACTGACATAGAAAGAGGAAGAGGGCTGTATTTTCCAAATGGAAGTTAAGGTCATAAAGTTTAATGAGTATATATGTATGTATGGTGCAAAAAGAAGATTATTAGAAATATAGACTTCCCTGGAAAACCTAGAAAATTTGTAGAAAATCTGGTCTGTAGTCATTGTATACATAGTTACATGAACACATTGTCTACCTTAATTATAGGACAAGAAACATGCTGTGCCAACCCAGAAAATTTGTAACCTTTGGTATTATCCATTTAGATGAACAGACTAATGAAGAAGAGCAAAATGATCAAGATAGCTCTGTAAGATAAGATGTACTCAATCGACCCAAGAAAGGTAGTGGCCATTCTAATTCTCCCATTCAAAGGGGATCCTGATTCATGGAGGTGGCTCAGGGAACCAAATGAAAGACAAACCAGGGGATCAGGTGATACATGTTGGTCAAATATAGTAATAGACTGTTCATGCAGCAGATATAGCAAGACAGAAGACTTGGTCTTAGCTTTGTCTTTTGCTGGCTTTGTGACCTTCAGAAAGTCCTTCACCTCCCTGAGTCTTATGTATAATATTTCGTTTCCATAGAATAGCTTCAGCATCAGGTTACAACTGAAGTTCCTAGGAGATTTTAACTTCCCAAGCGAGGTGCCATGGGCTAGATTTATACAAGAAATAGAATTGTTTGTTTCCTTGACTCATAAGGACCCAGGTTAATCAATCAAAGCAAGGAAGTGTGGGGATGAAAATTATTAAAAGGTTTGTTGAAGAGATGTCTTTAGAAGGATTGATCAGTTGATGTCCACTGCGTCTCTGCTTTGGCTTTCTGAGATGGCAGCAACAGGTGGAGTTTGCTATTTTATGGCTGCAGCCGGGTGAAGGAGGTCTCAGAAATTCCTCTTGAACTTCTGAAGTGATTTTGAAATGATTTCCCTGATACTGGGATACAGTCCTCCCACCTCAGAAAGCCAAAGTGGACCATCAGTTGCAGTTACTTAGAGTGGTATTTTTCTAAAAACAGATCTCAGTTCGTCAGTGGGTCTTAAAATGGATCTGAATAGGATTAAAGAAGTGAAGGAGAACTTCAAGAGACAACTCAGTTTATTCCGACCAAAATGGACCTCCAGGGACTGGATATATCTTCCCGTTTTAAACAATGAGAATAAAGGACAAAACGGTGGTTTTCACATATTGCACCAGTTTACCACCGAGGTGTGCATGGACTGGGGAGTTCAGACAGATCCTGGCTTCTGGCTTGAAGCTTTGCTGACTTGAAGCAACAGAGACCAAGAGTTCTGCTTTACTGAAGCAGCTACAATTTGCAGGACAGTACCAGAGAGACAGGAGGAATGCAGACTGAAAGCTCCAGAGGTCTGCAGAGAGTTCTCCTTAAGTCTTTGGTTGAATACTGATAGGCATGTTTGTAAGAGGAAAGTATCTTAGGTCAGGGTAAGAACCGCCAGAAAAGAAGAGGCAAAATAATACCAGAAGCTGATGCAGATTTTGTAATTCATGGACCATCTGATGTAGAATCCCCAGAAATGCATCGCTTTACTATCAGGCTAGATTAACCCTACTGTAAAGGTTGTTTGAGACTCACCCTTATAAAGCTTAAAAGCAAGCCTCAAAAGGATCCAATTCATTCCAAATAACTTACTTGCTCCAGAATTAAATTTAAAATTTGACAGTAATTAGAGGAATATAATACTATAAAAATCACAGTTTCCAGCACTTAATTTAAAAATGCCACGCATATGTACATATATATGATATATATGTATAAATATTCTCAGCACAATTGCCTACCACATAGTAGACCTCTTACAAACATTTATTCATTCAGACCTCAGGGCGACCTTAGTACATACACTATAGTGATCACAGTATTTATCAGAAGGATGCTTAATTTTCATCCTGATCATCAGCAAAAGTATGCCATGTGTATTTCAGTGTCTATCTGTCTATCTTTCCTCCTTAGAATCTAAGCTCCCCACTGCAGGGATTTTGGTCTGCTTTGTTTGCTAGTTAACTACCAATACCTGCAATAGTACCTAGCACATAGGAGGTCCTCAGTAAATATTTGTTGAATGAATGAATGAGTGTAGTTTGCAGCCAGAACCTCTTCCCAGAGACGTACCTTCCCCTTCTTCTCCCAGTCGAATAATCTGGATCTTGGAGTATAGCAAATCTTCTTCTTTGGGATGTACTGGAAAGAAAAGGCATTTTCAAGGCTGTTTCTGTTAGTATTAAAGTGCTACAGATGCCTCTTCCTAAGCATCACCTCCACTCTTCTTGGACACACAGTGGAACAATTATCTGGGAATATCTGGATTTGGGACACTTTAGGGAGTCCAGGGGCATTTCCCAGGGCTGAAAGCATATTACCTTTCCATGGCTGAGGCCAGGAACAGCTTCCTAGAGGGGAACCCTCACCATTGACATACAACCGCTGAAGCTCCACCTGAGCAGGGCAAATGGAATGGGAGGACTCTCCTGGCCCCAGAGTGGGAGGGATCCTGTGAGACACAGAAACACATAAAATCCCTGGAACATTGTAACATGCAGGATAGTGAGATGCCCAGGGAGAGAGGCAGAGGAGAAACAGGATTTGGGGAAAGTCAGCAGCCAAGAGGGCACTGGAAACCCTGGATCGTTTAGAGTTTCAATAGGTATATATAGAGTGAGATTGTTCTTTTGAAACAAACCCTGGAGCCCTGGAAACAAGGATAGAGAGTCTCCGATACCATAGTAACAATCGTCGTCTCATAGTTGGAATGATCACTCTTGGTTGGTTAAAAAATAGTGGCTTCCCAGCCTGGGCAGCATAGTGGGATCTTGTCTCTACACAAAATAAAATGAAGTTGGCCAGGCATGGTGGCAACTATCCTAGTTGGCAAGTATCCTAGATACTTGGGAGGCTGAGGTGAGAGGATTGCTTGAGCCTGGAAGGTCGAGGCTGCAGTGAGCTAAAACGATGCTATTGCACTCCAGCCTGGGTGACAGAGCAAGATCCTGTCTCAGATATACATACACTGCCTTCTTCATCATCAGGAAAGAGTGATTAAATGTCTTTACTTTATCGTTGGCCTGGTGAGGTGGCTCATATCTGTAATCCCAGCACTTTAGGAAGCTGAGGTGGGCAGATCACTTGAGGCCAGGAGCTCCAGACCAACCTGGCCAATATGGTGAAACCCTGTCTATACTAAAAATACAAAAATTAGCTAGATGTGCTGGCTCATGGCTGTAATCTCAGCTACTTAGGAAGCTGAGGCACAAGAATTGCTTGAACCTGAGAGGCGCAGGTTGCCGTGAGCTAAGATCACACCACTGTATTTTACATTGTAATGTCTGTACAATCCAAGAAGGAATTAGATATAATCCATATTCCAATTCCTAAGACACTGGCATAGAAAGAGGAAGAGGGCCGTATTTTCCAAATGGAAGTTAAGGACATAAAGTTGAATAAGTATATATGCACGCACGGTGCAAAAAGAAGATTATTAGAAACATAGACTTCCCTGGAAAACCTAGAAAATTTGTAGAAAATCTGGTCTGTAGTCATTGTATGCATAGTTACATGAACATATTGTCTAACTTAATTATAGGACAAGAAACATGCTGTGCCAACTCAGAAAATTTGTAACCTTTGGTATTATCCATTTAGATGAATAGACTAATGTGAAATAAGAAATCTACTATTTTGCATATTGCAAACTATGAGCGGACAAGCACAGTTCTAGAAAGCTTCATTTTTCACCAATTCAAGGAATGTGAAAATGAGGGTATCTAGCCACAGGGCCCAAGAGAAATAACTTGACCTAATTTTGTAACCCCACAGTTTTGCATATTGTGTACTTGGGAAACAAAAAAGGAACCAGTAGAAGCTGAGATCTCACCTGGTTTCATCTCCCAAGAAACCATCTCCTGCAAAATAAAGCAAAGATGCATTTGTGTCAACAGAGAAAGCCATTTCTCAAATACTTCGCATACAGGAGCTATCTAAGAGAGGTCATCAAGAAAGTAAATTCAGACACCTGCCCAGTCCTGAATTTTCTTGAAAATGATGTGAAGAAAGATTGAACAAAGCAGATAACTTGTTGAGGCCAGGATTGCACACTCCTGAGTTAAATATACAATTGTTTGAGAATTTATTAAGACTCAAGTCTGTGCTGAAATCCCTCAGGAAATATTACATATAACCAAATTGTTACTTGCAGAGTAGTGAGCTGTGGGTGAACTTTGAGGAACATCTGTGGCAATGCCCAGAGGAGCATCAAGGTCTGACTCAGGCTCACTAAGGAGATTTGGCCAGAGATCCAAAGCTCCCTACCTCCAACCCAATGCAGGACACACAGAAGGTGCTGTCAGGAATCTGGAAAGTTGAAATTGAATTAAGTGACAGAGTTGAGGATGTGGGTAATTATTCTAGAGCTGAAAAAGGTTCTGTGCTTGTCTTCTACACCAGGTGTCTTGGCATCCAAAGCTAGCCTGAACTGGGCTGAGGTGAGAAGCCTTTGGAAGTATGCAGCAGACAGTGCCTGGGACAAACGTCTCCGTAAGGCAGGGGAGGCTGACCTGGGGAGAGGGGCTCTTGGAGCGTAAGACAGCAGGCTCAAGCTCCGACCCAGAAAAGTCTCTTAGGGGAGAGAAGGATAGAAATTAGCCAGCTCTTATTATTCTCAGTCATTTCTGCAGAGCCCTTCAGTTCATTTGGAATCTCCATTTATGGTGGATTTAGGATAGGCTGAAGTATTCAACTGGCCAGTCTGTATGAACCAAAGAAACTGCCTCAGTAAATAGTTCAGATAAAGTTTTTCGAACTTTTCATTACAAATTCCACTCTCCCTCCCTTTCACTTGATACTTAATCAATCAGACTAGATATGAGCAGCTCTCATTCACAGCCCCTATTTTTTTTTTTTTAATTCACGGACTCTATTTGCAAAACTACCCCTTAAGGAAGGGGCAGACGTGAGTGTGTGTGAGTGATGGGGGTGGTGACTTGGGAGTGGTGGCCTGGTGGCTACTGAGGCTGGCGCATGCTGAGTTCAGGGGGAGGGACGGGGCAGGAACTCTGGCAAAGAGAAGAGCACAAACCTGACTTCCTCTGGCGCCAGCAGTGAAACAGCAGGACCACAGTCAGGAGAAGAGCGCTGAGCAGCCCCCCAATGGCTCCCGCGGTGACAAGGCCATCTGTGTTGCCTGGAGTCACTAAGGGAAAAGGACCTGTGTGAACCTCAGTGGAGAGGTTCAGGGCTCGGAATTGCCTTTTCCTCAGCTTGGTTGGGTACTGAGCCCTGGAAGAGAGAAGAATCTGAAGGACTAGGACTCATAAAGAAATCTTGGGCCTGGTTATGGCCAGAAAAGCTCACTGTGGGTGGGTCAGGGCCTGAGTGGAAAAGGAAAGAGCTCCCTCTACCTTCAGTGAATCATTTTAGAAACTAACAATTTTGGGGAAATCCTAATGTATTCTGGTAACCTGGCTTCCCACGAATTTCCCCCAGACACCTAGAGAGCTACCATGGGACTGTGGCCTGGCGGCACCTAACTCAGAAAGTGAACTGTCCGAGAAAGAATGAAAATTCATCATTGATTAGGGCGCCAATTGAACCAACAGAGACTCTGTTTTAAAGCTCTGCATTAAAAAAGCACATTGGAACACACGATGAAATGACATCAAGCTTCCTTCCTCTTAGAAGCCTGTGCCTTGTGTGCTCTGAAGGGCAGGAGAGAAAAGAACTGATGGAAAAGTACAAACAATAAATTGTTAGGGGCTTTTGATATTTCCATGGGGTCTATTCTATCCTTTCATCCACAGAAAGGGAGGTTTCCTTCAATTTACTCATTTATACAGCAAATATTTACTGAGGCTACCCTGTGCCAGGCACTGACCTAACCCTTGAAGATATAGCAGTGAACAAGACAGTAAAATCCCTGTTCTTCTGCAGTTTATAACCCAGGGAGGGGAGACAAGCAATAAACAAATAAATAAATTTATACCATGCCCTGTGGTGATGAGCTAAAGAGCAAAAGCAGGAGAGAGGAACAGAGGCTGAGGGGTGGTGCTTTTCCTACATATTCTTGGTCCCCAGGTAAACTAAATTCAGACCTCAGACACAGGTACCACAGAATTGACAGACAGCTTGCAGATAGGAGAACAACAGCAACACTGACCGTGATTTCCATTTATCTTCATCTATGATTTCTGGCACAGAGGGGCCATTGGACAGGAGTGGCTGGTGACATTTCTGAAATTATCCTTCTCTTTCTGGCAACACCAACAAACCTGTCCTTTGACCTATGAGTGGTTCTACCTATAGACAGTGTTCACTGGGCAGCTAGCCCAGCCTCCCAACCACAACAGCTGAAAGAGTAGGGTGGAGAGCAGGGGAGAAATCTAAGGACAGAGAAGCTTGGCCACTACATCCTGTATTGAATCTTTCCCCATTGCCTGCTGGGGCAGTCTTTCCCCATTGCCTTCTCTGCAAAATCAGAATCAGCTATGTCCAGGTCTAGAATTCTGGACTCAATGGGCAGGAAGCAAGTTACTCTATCTTCCTGGTAACCCTGTTTCCTAGAATAAATGGCTACTTTGGGGAAAATAATTGAAATCTGCCTCAGTTAGAAAGGCACAGATTGTAAATCCAGATTGTTTGGTTCGAATTCTACCTCCTCCATTTACTCGCTGTGTGGCCAGAGAAAATTATTTAATCTCCCTTTGCCTCAGTTTTCTCAGCGAACTGGGGATAATTGTGACTATTTACTGTTGTAAATGAGTTAACGCATGTAAAGTGCTTTGAACAGTGCCTAGCACCTAAGTGTTATGTCTAGGCAAGTACTAGCTCTTGTTTATTGTCCTAACACCATGCCCTAGGCTCTCAGGAACTTCGGGCTGCTCTCTGATTAGCTTAGAGGACACCTTCATAGGTTAAGCTTGCTCCCCATAGTCCTACCCCAGACAACCTCAGTCCATGAATTGAATTGTGCCCTTTCCCCCCAGATTCATGTGTCGAAACTCTAACCCCAATGTGATGGTATTTGGAGATGGGGCCTTTAAGAGACATTAGATTTAGATGAAGTCATGCGGATGGGGCCCCAAAGATAGGATTAGTGCCCTTCTAAGAAGAAACACCAGAAAGGTTGCCCTTGTCCTGCTTTCTCTCTCTGCCACTTGAGAACATAGCAAGCAGGTATCCTTCTGTAAACCAGAAAGAGAACCCTCACAAGAATCCAAATTATGTTAGTGCACCAATCTCAGACTTCCAGCCTCTAGGATTATGAGGAAATACACTTCTGTTGTTTAAGCCCCCAGTACATGGTATTTAGTTATGGCAGTTCAAGCTGACCGAGACAGCCCACCTTAGCCCAGTGCATGCGGCTACAGCAGGAGTTTCTCTCTTGTTATAAATTCTTCTGTTTCTAAGCACAGGGATTTTGCATAAAGTCCATGAATAAAAAAGATTTAGGATGCTCATTCTAAATTCATATTCATATTCCAGTAATATTCCATCAAATATTACTGGATCTTTGATGTCCGTTTAATCTCTGAGATCATCTGTTTTCTTGACAGATGATCATTAAATGACATTAAGTCATTAAAATGACATTAGCTCAATCTCAGTCCTTCTCTGCTAGGAATTATACCCATTGCTGTTCCCAGACTGAGAGGCAGACTGCTGTGGCACTTAGTTCTGGGGAAACACCTCAGATACCTACTTTCCAGGGCTGCCATGGGAATAAAATGAAACAATATGTGTGGAGTGGCCAGTTCACTGCCTGGATCGGGAGAAGCTGATCCATTGTAATGACCTTAACCCCCAAGGGGAAGAGGAGTAATTTGTACTTACCAACAGATTCACCATTATCTCCTCAGAGATTATAATCTTTGAGCTTCCTGGGGTAAACTTTTCAGAATAAGAGCCTTCCTGCAGAAGAAACACCCTTTACCATCAGTGTTATTCTGGATTTCAGGGCATTCGGGAGTCTTCAGAGGGTGCCCTTGGCAGCTCGCAGTTTTGCTAATGCCTTCTTTTCCTCCCCTAATCTGATTCTTGAAATGCCATTGAGCCCTGGAATTCAAGACCAGACTGGGCAACATAGAACGTTTCTCTATGAAAAAATAAATTTAAAAATAATAGCTGGGCATGGTGGCACATGCCTGTAGTCCCAGCTACTTGAGAGGGTGAGGTGGGAGGGTCGCTTGAGCCCAGGAGGTCAAGGCTACAGTGAGCCAAGATCATGCCACTGAACTCCAGTCTGGACAACAGAGGGAGACCTCATATTAAAAAAAAAAAATCATTAAAATGACATTAGCTCAGTCTCAGTCCTTCTCTGCTGGGAATTACACCCATTGCTGTTCCCAGACTGAGAGGCAGACTGCTGCGGCACTTAGTTCTGGGGAAACACCTCAGTCTCTTAACCTGGTGGGGCCTGCTTGATCACAAGACTTGCCTTGAGGGAGTTGAAGGGAAAGTTGAGCAGCATCTGGGTCATTAGCATAGCAACCCCTTGCCAGAGCCTCTGACTAAACTGTTCAGGTTTCTGTCTCTCACCGTCAAAGCTGACCTCGTATAAACAGTGCGGCTCTCTGCTTATTTAGCATGGTTGACAGTGGATATTTGACTGCGTGGTATTTCTTTGGAGAACTTTGACATGGCTCTCTGTATCTCTGAGCTAAATGACTGCATCAGGGTTCAAATCTAGGCTGCCGTGTGTAAGCTCTGTGGCTTTATACAAATCACCAAACCTTTCTGAGTTGTTATTTCCCTTCTGTAGAATGGAGATAATAATATTTTCAGAGGATTGTTACGATGATCAGTAGAGATGATATGCACAACACTCATTTATTCAGCAGACGTTCACTGAATGCCTGAGTCAAGCACTATTCCGGGCACTCAGGATACAACAGTAGTAAAAAGAAGGATCCACCCGCATGAGGCTGATATGAGACACCTGGGAGAAGGCAACAAACAGCTAAGGGCATTCATGGCCTGGGAGTTGGTGATAAGTCCTGTGATGGGAGAATTAAGCAGGACCAGGAGAGCGAGAGCTGCAAAGAGGACTGCCATGTTACAGAGCTTGGTTGGGAAAAGACTGACAAGTGAGTAGAGTTCTGGAGGAAGTGAAGAAGTGAGCATGAGGATATCAGGGAGGTTGCAGTGTAAAGGCCCTGAGGTGGGGTTGAGCCTGGAAAGTTTCAGGAAGAGACAGAGGGTCAGCATGGTGGGAGTAGAGAAGGCAAGACAAAGTGGTAGGAGATGAGGCCAGGGTGACAGGAGGGTTAGATCATGCAGGGCCTGGATGATCTAGGTGAGTCATTGAGAGGGTATTGGCCATCTGCTGAAGGACATGGGAAGCCAAGGAAGGATTCTGAGCTGAAGAGTAACATGACCTGACTTATTTTTAAGAGTTCCCTCTGATGTTGCATTGAGGATAGACATACAGAAGACCGGTTAGGATGTCATTGCCATGATCCAGCCAAGGAATGCCAGTGCCTTAGACCAGGTGGTGGCAGTAGAGATTGTGAGAAGTAGTCAGATTCTGGCTGTATTTTGAAGGTAAAGCCATTAACACTTGGAGGTGGGTTAAATATGGGGGATGAAATAAGAAGAGGCAAGGCTGATGCTTCGATTTTTGGCCTAAGCAACTAGGAGAAGGGAGTTTTGTATTTACTGAGTGGAGGATTTAGGCAGGAACCTTCTGGAGTAAAAACTAAGAGCTTGGTTTTAGATGAGTTGTTTGAGCTGCTCACTAGCTGTTCTTATGCACTTGATTTAAATACTTGAATATATGAGCCTCAAGTTCAGACTAGAGGTCTAAGTTTCAGTTCAGTTTGGGAGTCACACATAGGTAGAAATCATAAATGCATTTAAAGTCACGAGACTGAATGAGATGTTATGGAAAGTGGTCACAGCTTGTCTGAGGACAGATCCCTGGTAGTCCCCAAAATGTAGAAGTTGTAAATATTATAAAGATTGGGAAAGAAAACTTTAAAAAGTGTCTGGTGAATAGGTAAAATACCAATAGGTTATGTCCCAGAAATTGAGGAGGAAAATGTTTCAAGAAGGAGGGAGGGATTAATTCTATCAAAAGCTGGAGGTAAATCAAATAAAATGGAAACAGTTTTCCACTGGTCTTAGAAACATGGAGATCATTAGTAAATTTGGTGGAATGAGGCAAGCCTGGTGGTCATGGGTTTAAGAAAAAAATAGGTGAAGTAAGGAGAATGAATAGAGACAACTCTTTTGAGTTTTATTATATAGGAAAGTAGGGACATTTAACTTTGCAGTAACTTAATAAAAGCTTGCTTTTTTTTCTTTTTCTTTTTTTTTTCTTTTACTTTACTTTTGTTTTTGTTTTTGTTTTTTCAGAGCCAGGGAATGCTACTAAATCTGAGATTGAGAAGGGATTGAAGCCCAGTAGAGACCATTCCCTTAGTGCCAAGGTAGCTGAGTGAGAACATAGCTTGGCCCAGTGTGGCTTCTTGGGGATGGAGGAAGAGACGTAATTGAACTAAAACTGTGAGATCCCAAAGTAAGGCTTCTCTTTTCAATGGACAGAAGTGGGCTCTGTATCTGCTCTCCATGCTTTTGAGTTTCCTGACCTATATACAATTTGGCTGCCCAGAATCCTTCAGGATTCTATTACAGTAATGAAGTCAAGGAATGCCTTGTGCTTTTGGTTCTGTGGACCTGAAGCTGCTGGTCTTATGTGTGTGGATGATTGACTGAAAGGAGAGGTGTAGTTGACACTGTGGGGTGACAGAGCTGTGCCCCACCCAGAAACACTGCTGACGAGATAAGGCTCCTCCTGAAGATTAACACGCAATGGATCCGAGCACAGAGAAACAAAATGACCTCCAAAAGGCAAAACGGCTCCTGGCCAGGCCAGCATTACCTCACTACAGGACCTTACTCTGACCTGACCGAGTTATTAATATTCTAAAGAAATTGTTTATCACAGTGGAGCATGGCAAAATGGAAACACAAAAAGCAGAGTCACAGGGTAATGTTCTCTATCCCCACCCTTCATTTGAGGAAGTCTGCTGAGAGTAAATAATTAGGTCAGTAGAGATAAAAGCTCACCTCTCACAGTGACGTTCAGCACCGCACTCCGGACAGGGCCGTAGCTGTTGTCTGCTGTACAGTAGTATCCCCCCGCGTGGCTCTCTCTGATGGCTGGGAGCTCCAGCTCTGCTCTTGGGGAACGCTGAATTTTCTTCCCCAGACTCTCCTGTGTGTCCTCTCGGTGCCAGGAGAATGTGGTGTCCCCTGTGCCTTCAGCCATGGAGCAGACAAGGACCAGTGTCTCCCCTTTAACAGCCTGGCCCCCTGAGGGCTGGGTCTCCAGGAGCACTCCAGACACAGGGATCCCTATGTGAAAATGAGACCACAGGTGGGGGCCAGGTGTGAAGGAGGGCAGGGCTGGGTAGCTGGGGCGTTGAGCAGGGTCACTTTTTATGTGACTTCAAGATATACTCTTCAGCAGGTACCAGCATGGTGGCCAACAGACTATGAATTTAGGGCTGAGAATATCACTAAATGTGAGAAGCTTTCCATCCTGATATACAAGGCTCCAGGAAAGAAAAAAGGACTAACCCAGAGGAAGCATTTGGGTTTTGTCTGACATCTTGGCTGGAGGTCTGAGTTGTTTTGAGGGAGAGGTAATAGCAATAGTGGCCATCATGGCACTTGGCTGGACCACATCTGTTTTTAAAAGTCCTAATTTGGTACCTAAGTGATATTTATTGGGTCCGTCTATCTCCCCTTCTCTTCTGCTGTACACATCATCAGCACTCACATTGTTCGTAGCTACTGAGTAGGAAAAGGTAGATGCTTGCCTTCTAAGTAGTTTCCCCCAAGATCTAGCATTCTAGAATCTGCCAACTCCCTAGCAGGGAACCTTGTCTTCCTGTTTTGTTTTGTTTGCCATAGCTCTCAAACCTAACACCATGAGTCAGCTGTGATTCTGAAGTGATAAGAGTTTCAAAGGAAGACTGAGTTTTTAGGAAAATGGAGGTAGAAAAGAAGTCATGGATTTCTTGTATTATAGTACTTCATTTTTTGGCCTAAGTCTGGTGCCTCTCTGTCAGGATGATAAAATCCATCTCTTCTACATAGTCCCCATGCCTACAGAGCCCAGGGGGCAGAGAGAGGCAGGGAAGATGCCTGGCTCTCCAACACTCACGTTGCACATGGATCTGTAGCGAGGGACTACGCTTGTGGATGCTACCGATCACCGTTTCAGCACCACACCAATAGGATCCCGAGTTTTCTCTCCAGATGGTTGGGATCTGGAGTTCCGGGGACTTGCTCCAGTTTGACAGGATGACCCTGTCATCTCTGAAGAAGATGAAGTGAAGTGGGGTGTCCGCCCGCTCTGGAGGAAGCTGCGTTTCACAGCTCAGGGTTACAGAACTCCCCTCTGTAGGCTGAGAGTCTGTGGCTTTCAGCTGTGGATGTGGAAATAGTTCTAGAGAGAAGAGGTAAATCCATTTCTGAGCACAAGAGTATTTAGCACTCTGTGAGAGACAGGTTTGAATGCTCAGATCCAGGAAACTTCAGACACATAGCAAGACAAACTTATCAAGCCCTCTACCACATTTTTCTTCCACAGGTTTATTCACACCCAATTACCCTACTTTCTCTGCCTTTTAGAGGACTTGTGCCTCTCATCTATTCAGTTTCAATAGTAATCCATGAATTCCTGCCTTACATGCCCAGTTTCCTAACCCTGACATTACTAACAAAATTTATATGAAGTGAAAGATTTACCTTGAATTTTAATCACTTTGTTACTTGATATAAATACAAGTTTGTCTCTATATCCAAAGCATCGATAATTGCCACTGTTATTTGAACTTGCTTGTGGGATAAGAAGATCCGAGCTTTTATTAGATTTGAAAAGAATTTTTTCATTCCGAGTGTATTTCACAGCAGTCAATTTCTCATTCCTCCTTTTCTGGCATCTCAGAACCAATGTGTCACCTTCAAACACAGAATATGGGGCCTGCAGGATTAAGGGCTCTGGAAAAGACACAGAGAGAAGAGATGGTCATTCAAAACACTCCTGCTGCCTCCTTCCTCTGTGTCTCTTAAATTACAAAGGTTTTATTGTTTTCTTCTTTCTTCCACAGGATACAATCTCCTGATCCAAGCTCAAAAATTCCTTCTAAATCAGTATAACATGCTTCAGGTACAATTCCTAAATAAATCCCAGACACGTCTATTTAAGCATTCACAGTCAGATTCCAAATATAAGGATTCTAATGTGGAGAATAAAAGCTGAGAGGAGGTGTGATCAGAATCCCTGACATGATAGAGTATGGCAGAATTTAACACCATCCTGCTCACCGAGTCTCAGAGCAGGAGCTATGAAGGAAGTCACACTTGGAGAACTATGCACGGAACTCTTCCCATGCATATTGGAGTGTGTTTTATAGCAGGATTCTTGTCAGAGACACAGTCTAGGTATCAGGGACAGTGGATGTGGTCCTATGGAAATTCCATGCTGTTCAGATTGTAATAATTTTAATCTAAGATTAGCTATAACCCTTCTGTCTTAGATGACTGTGTTGATGGCTACTACTGTAGACCATGCCCTTGGAAGTGACAGAAATCCTTATCAATCAAGTAAAACTGGACAGGAGGAGATGTGGGAATTTGATGCCAAGCAGAAGGAAAACCAGGAATGAGGAGGGCACACATCACAACGGGTGGGGATGAAAAACCTCAGATTGGAGATTTCCCACCTCTGAGCTCCTTTGATGGTACTTTTGTCCTCAGAACATTTATGTATGTTTAATTTCTCCCTATGAGGCTATTAAAGCCCTGCAGGGCAAGATCTGAGACAGCTTCAGTTTTGTGATCCCTAAAGCTAACTCATTTCCTTGACTGTGTAAGTGTGTGGGCATGGTGTGTGGGGATGTTGATTAATATTAACCATTTAAACTCAAGTTTCAATAGTAGTTTGAAAAACATTTGTCGGCATTGAGGGAGAATGTGAAACTGAAGTAGCTGGGATTGAGTGTTAGAGAGGAATAAAAGACCCCAGTTTGTAGAACCTCCAGGGAGTTAGGATCAACCGAACCCATTTATAAAGTTTCAACTAATTCTTCCTTCTCACCTGAAGAAAAGACCAAGCGCACAGGGTCACTTTGTGGGGAGCCCTGGGTCTGGCATCTGTAATGTCCGGATTCCTGAACCTCAAGGGTGTTTCCTGGGGTTAGGGTCAAAGTTTCTCTCCTAGGGTACAGACGATGCCATTTTGTTTTCTCTGTTGCATTGAAGTGAAATCCATTGCAAGTCAGAGTCACTCTGTCTCCTTTGAAGACTGTGGTCCATGGAGGATGGAGGGAAATCACAGGTTTCTGTGCAGCTGCTGAGGAGGAAAGAGTAATGGGTCTGAGGTGGAGGTGCCTGCAGTCCCAGCTGCAGTGGCTTGTGTGGGTTACACTGAAAGACATGGCATGGGAGATCCCTAAAAGGCCCAAGGACAACTTCTGTTTCCCCAGGTTGCAGGTGAGCTGTGTTCACCTTCTCCCGGGTACAGTGGCTGCTCAGTGGTCTACAGCAGCAGATTGGCCTTTCAGAGGGAGGGCAGCTCTAGCAGGATCCTCTCAGCAGTGATGGCTGATGGGAGGCTCACAAACTCTCTTACTTGTTTCAGGGAACCAGGTCCTCAGGAAGATAGTTGGAAATTGCATTTTTCCTGGACTCCCACCTGGGATCCTCGTGTTACAGAGACCTCTCTAAGATGAGTTCTTGTGTGTGAAGGGTACCAGAAAATGCCATCTTCAGGTTTGTCTCTTTGGCATATAAATTATTTTGAGCTAAAGGCCATGGAGAATCACCAGAAATAGGAAAAGTTCTAAAAAACAAGGCACACATTTTCCTTTATAAATGAAAAAAGAAATTTTCACTTATAAATGAAATTTCCTTTCGTAAATGTGTCTCCCTCTCCCATACCGGGAAGAGGACTACACTTAACAACTTTCCTCAATAGAGAAGGCATTCACTTTAATATTGTTTAAACCTTGTTTCACTTAAACATTCACTTAAACCTTGTTTACCATGGTTTTCCTAGTCAACCTGCCACACCTTTCCCCCGCCACCCGGAAGCCCAAAACTCCTTTTCCTTTGTTTAAGACGGTGTACAGGCTGAGTATACCTTATTCAAAATACTTGGGAACAGAAGGGTTTTGGAGTTCGAGTTTTTTTCAGATTTCGGAACATATGCATAAACCAGAAATCTGAAATCTAAAATGCTCCAGTGAGCATTTCTTTCGATCCTCATGTCAGTGGTTAAAAAATTTCAGATTTCGGAGCATTTTGCATTCCAGATTTTTGAATGAGGGATATTCAACCTGTGTAAATCTCAATCATCTGGCTGCCTCCTTGAGCCATGTTTTTCTTTGCAAACTCCCCTGTGTATGTACACTTGTTAATCTGTCTTTTAGCAAGATAATTTATGGACCCCAGAAAATTAACCTGTAGGAATCAAGAGAAAACTTTTTCTTTGCCCTCTTAAGGTCTGCTGAAAAATCAACTGATGAAAAGCACATTCATAGGAGAAATGGCCTTCAAATTTATCAACATGTACAGGGAAGAATTACAGAGTGATTCCCCAAATAATGCCAGTGGGGCCCAGATACTTACCCAGCCATTTTTAGAGGGGTTTTGGGAGAGGGGTAATGTAGGTAACTCTTTTGAGGGGCAACACATAATGACTAGGGTGAATTAGTGGATAAATGGTTTTATTTGGAAGCTGAATGAGCCTGAAGGATAGACATTTTCTTATGATAGGGTCTGTTCATCTGTGGTTACACCCTTCAGTCTTCTTTTCTACATTAGATGATGATAGCAGGGAGGGGAGGAAAAAACAACTGTTCTTACTGGTGGGTTGGTCTTTAGGTAGATGGGGGAAAGTTTCTTCTGTTGATCTTTAAGGGCCTTTAATTTAAAATACGCATTATACCAGGTGGCTGTATTTGGGGGTGAAATATTTTGGTTCTCTTCAAAACTAAGACAGGTAGAGAGAAATTTATCCCTTCTCTACATATAGCATGAACATGAGATGGGATAGGAGCTGTAGATGGAGTAAGTATAGAAATTTGGGGGTCAATTAGACAGTTATGAGAAGGGGCTTAAGTAACATTTTTACTGACAAGAAGTCTGTATGGGAGAGGTGGGCAGGCTGTATCTGACATAAGAAATATATCCAGATAGCTGCAGAAAATAAGACTACAAGGAGCTAGATGCTTCTAACTCCCCAGACCTCAAAGACACTCTCCCATGACAGTAAAATACTAACCCTACATGAAATTAAGCCCTACAATCTTTGAAGCATTGGTGTATAGAAACTGAAGAATGCAAGGATAATACAAATTAAAAATAAGAGGCTTAATTCTCCCTGCCAAAAGTAAGAGACTTCTCCTCCTCTTTCAGAATTTCTTTCTCTGTCCTTTTCAAATGCATATAAATGTTTACATTGGTTAAATAAGCCTATTGCCTGACTCCCAACCCAGGAAAGTCCTGGGAACCACCTTTTTGAATACAAGCATCTAGAGAGATAGTTACCCTGTCTCTCAGTTCCCGTGGGAGGGCAAGAACCTAACTTTGATGGGCTTTCTCCAATGTGCAAAACTACCTGCTGTTATAAAGATAGAAGTTTGTTTCCGCATGTTTTCACTCATAGGCGAGTGAACAATGAAAACACTTGGGCACAGGGAAGAGAACAACACTCACTGGGCTATGTGGCGGGGGTGTGGGGGAAGGAGACAGCAAACCACCATGGCATGTATGCGCCTATGCAACAATCCTGCAGGATGCAGGATGTGCACATGTACCCCAGAGCCCAAAGTACAATAAAAAAATTAACTCAAAATAGATAAATGACCTAAATATAAGAGCTCAAACCATAGAACTCTTTAAAGAAAACACAAGAATAAGTCTTTATGACCTTGGACTTAACAATGTGTTTTTAAACATGACACTAAAGCTTAAAGAACAACAACCACAAAGAAGTTTGTTTCCCTTCAGTTACTTAAGACAGGTTGTCTCCCCAGTAACCAGGATAAAGTTTAAATGAACTCGTGGGAGGAAAGGTGTTCTCAGGCCCTCTTCCTTGAGGCCTAGTTATTGTTTATCTTGAAAACACATATGAATGGGCTGTATCTAATTGGCTGTATGAGGGGGTGGAATTCCTTTCTGTCTTCGCAGCTTCTCAGCGGATTGCCTGTGATGCTCATCATATTCTGGCTTATTGCTTATTCAATAATACAAATGTTTCCTTTCTCTACTACCCTTGTGGAGAGGATTTCTGAGTTGGGAGAAAATTCTGTTTTTAATTATATATCTTCTAACAAGATGCTGTTGCTGAGGCTCTTTTTAATCTGAATGTTTATTTTCTGAGTTTTGTAGCTCTGACTTTGTGCCGGCTAACAATAACAGCAATTACAACACAGATTATTCACTGTTGGAAACATCACTCAAACAACCTGCCCAATTTAATACTACTATCTAGCCTTCTCCAAGATCAGTGCCTTGGTAGGCTAATCTTTCAATGGGTATACAAATGAAAATTGATTGCTATTTTAGATTCTGCTGAAGATGCAATAATTCCTAAACTTGGTAAAAGTTATGTGGAACCACTGCTCTGATGACTCACAAAATCACTAAAGAGTATGGCAGAGTAAGACCTATTAACAGTTACAAAGGAGAAATCAATCATAGGGAAAACACTCTTTTGGCTTTCAAAAGTCGGTCCCAATGCTCTTCTCTCTAACCTGTTGTTCACTAACGTGTTTGAAAAAATGAAGTACTAACTTTCCCACCTACAGGATCTAGGTCTGAATAAAGGAATGTCAGAGAAGTGATGTAAGGGATGGACTAAGGAATAGGGATTCTGGGAAAAGGTTTTTCTTTTATTTGAAAGAAGATGCACACTGGGAGCTCTTTCACAGCTTCACTTCCCTACACCATCTGCCTCCCCACTTCTCCCCACTTTCCTTCTTAACAAAGGCATGATGGCTGGAGCTGTGGCAGCTACCACATTTTTTAAAAAATTGATATTAGATGCATGCTTTGTCCTACAAATTGCCTACAGTAATGTAACTTCTGTTTTCATTTGTATTAATTTTAAACAATAAAATATTTATATTTCGTTTGTATTAACCTTAAACAATACAATCTCAATTTTGGGAATTACTATTTACTACAAAATTTTAAATAGAATAACCTTAAATTATTTTCTTCTTGGAACCTTTTTTACTTAGACAAGGACTGTCTACATTTAAGAACTTATAGAAAATTGCTTTTTCAAGCTTCAAACTTTAAACCGTCTTGCCTTTGTCCAGAAGAACTTCCCAAATAGATCTTTTAGTTACAGCTAAGTGTGAAGAAAATGCCCTTTCTCTGTTTGGGAGTAGAAAAAAAAAAAAAGAAAACTAACATAACCCGACTGCATGTTTTACATGAAGAAGCTAAATGTTCTGTTGGGTAAGGTAAAACATCTGTGTGTCTCTGCAGACTTTCTTTTCTTTTTTTTTTTTTTTCAGACAGAATCTCACTCACCCAGGCTGGATGCAGTGGCCTCATCTCAGCTTATTGCAACCTCTGCCTCCTGGGTTTAAGTAATTCTCTTGCCTCAACCCCCCAGGTAGCTGGGATTACAGGCACACAACACCATGCCCAGCTAATTTTTTGTATTTTTAGTAGAGATGAGGTATCACCATGTTGGCCAGGCTCGTCTTAAATTCCTGACCTCAAGTGGTCCACCCGCCTCAACCTCCCAAAGTGCTGGGATTACAGGCATGAGCCACCATGCCCGGCCTCTGCAGACACTTTTTAAAAATAAAAATCTGTCCTTAAAAATTTGGACTGAATACCCTATGTCTTCAGTGGGGATGGGGCTGTGTTTCTGCTGAGAGACTAGAAATCCCTACCAGCTATGTTCCTGAGAAGCAACTGGATGTGGGGCAGTTGGGACTTAGACAATGGGTCTTCTACTGGGGGGAAGGAGAATTGATTTCCTTTGTTGTGTGCAACTAGACTCTTCTTTGCTCTGAGGAAGCTGTTCCTGCCATGTGCACGTGGCCGTGTGGCCAGGAAGGGACATAACTTTTCAGAGCCTTTGTGTGTTTGGGACTGAGTTGGTGGGCTCCGAGATTAACCACATCTGTAACTGTAGCTAATACCAGACACTTGTTTTGTATTTCATTTCCCCATTCTAAAACAATTAGCAAAGTCTGCCAGGTTATAATCTTGTCCCAGGAAGGATGTGTGGGAAATAGTCTGTGTCCATGGCACCGACGAGGGGAAGAACAGCAGAGTTAGGAGCTGCAAGTGACAGTGTGCCTCAAGGGGACCAAGGTCCTTGCTTGGCTCCAGCAGCTCCCAGGGTGCTCTACAGGAATGGCCAAAACACCCATGAGGTGGCTTCCTACGGAGGATGGGACTTTCTGCTGACCAGTAGGATAGATGGTGACTCAGAGTCGAGCCATTAACAGAGAAGTGTGTCTCCATGGGATACGGAAGTTTGGGGTAAATTTGTGACACATGGTTAGCAGCAAAGCGGCTGGAGACCCCGCCTGCCCCTCTGAAGTATTGGTTCATGTCTTCCTTTTTCCTCTCGATGCTATGCATTCCATCAGGTTTGGCCAGAATCCCACATCAGGTGGGGTGGCAGCTTCTCCTCCTGTGGATTCTATGATGCATTATCTCAGACCCTGCCATGTTTATCCAGCACAATGGCAGTTTTCATTTAAGAGAGTGACTCCCCAAATAACCTGATTCTTAGAGTCCGAGTCACCACATCAGCAGGTGTTTCCACATCTCTGCAGCCCTCAGGAAAAGGATGAAAGGGACAACAAGGACTCTTGTAAGAATTTGAGATAAAATATAGTTATTAGGATATCTAGAGACACAACAGAGCAAAGAAAATAAGGACTTACCAGATTGGCCACAGACTGGAGCTGCAAGAGAATCAAGAGCCAGCCATCAGCACAGGCAAAGAGTCCCAAACTATTCACCCTGAGGGCCCCATGCTCATATGCTACTTCCAACCAAGAGAAGGAGAAACATGCTCTGTTCCACCCATCCCAGAGAAGTCGGGGATCACCACGACCAGACACTCAGGCTGTGGACCCAAACAGTGTGGTTTGAATTTTAGCTGTATGACCCGGGGCAAACCACATGAACTTTCAAGTCTTAGATTTCTCATTTGAAAAACAAGGCTCATAAAAGCGACCTCATAGTATTACTGTAATGAGTTAGATTAGTAAGACTGTCATTAATTTTTTAGTATGGGGCTGCTGCTGACCCCTCTTCTCTTGATTCAGAACACTTATTATCATAGCTAATTTGGAACTCAAAATAAGATAGACAGTAGGAGGTAGTAGCCAAAAACATAGTTTCCAAAGTTAGATTATGGGTTTGAATCCTGACTCTGCTACTGTCCTAGCTGCATAAATCTTAGGAATAAGACCAACATCTTTGTGCCTTCATTTCCTCATTTGTAATTGGGAGTTATAAGAGTTCCACCTGATCAATAGTTAGAGAATTGGATAAATTTATACGTGGGGTACCCTTAGAAAAGTGAAATGTAAGGCCAGGCACGGTAGCTCACGCCTATAATCCCAATGAAAGGTCTAGGCGGGTGGATCATAAGGTCAGGAGTTAAAGACCAACCTGGCCAAGGTGGTGAAACCCTGTCTCTTCTAAAAATACAAAAATTACCCAGGCATGGTGATGGGTGCCTGTAATCCCAGCTACCCAGGAGGCCGAGGCAGTAGAATCACTTGAACCCATGAGGCGGAGGTTGCAGTGAGCCGAGATCATGCCACTGCACTCCAGCCTAGGCAACAAAAGTGAGACTTTGTCTCAGAAAAAAGAAAAGAAAAGTGAGATGGAGTCAGGGCTCAGCAAAAATTAATTGACATCCTCACACATTAACTATAACTCTTTGTGTAATATTATTCTCATATTGTCAAGACAGATGTTCTTGCAGGTGTAGGTTGATGTTCTATTGAGAATGTCACCTCTTGAGGGCAAAATCTGTGTCTTTCAGGTCTCTGTCTTCTCTGTGGTACCCAGCAGTGTGGTATGCCATGTATACCCATCCATTCACTCCTTAGTTCTTATCATGTGCCAGTCACACTAACAGAACCTCCCTTAGTTGGGGTCTGGGGATCAGGTGGGAACTAGACAAATATGCTTAATAAATATTTAATGTACAACAGACTGATTGTTCCTTAATTCCCTAGCTTGAGCTACTAGGAAATCAGTGCCTCATTTGGACAAACACTGACAAGTAGTACAAAAGCAGGAAGAAAAGCATCAATGGAAAACCTTCTTACTTCTCTTCTCACACTCTTTGCAAACATCAGAGCAGGTTTGATCTCAGAATACAGAGAAGGAAATAACTATTCTCAGCAGGTGATCCCTTCTACCTGAGTTCACAATTAGGATATGGTCCTTCACAAGGAACTCAGTTAATCTTTTCCTCTGGGTCCTCATGATCTGTGTGACTTATGAACTGAACCTAGCCATAGGTTTCTTTTTACATAAACAAGCCCATTTTGGGGTAAAAATGATTTTCCATAGGCAATTAATAGCAAAAGCAGATGAGAAGTTCATCTTTGGAAATCAGTTCTTATCATTTTCCCCCTTCTACCAGTAAATCATTATCTTTCCTTTTTGTTCATTTTCTGCTGCTCTGAAATGGGAGTAAAAATTCATGATTTCAGCAGCTCAGAAAAGAGGCCTTTTGCTCATGGCAAGGCTCAGCTTTGCAGCAAGCAGAGGCCTCTTCTCCATTACTTACCAAGGACCAGCAAGGACGTCCACAGCAGCATGGAAGCCTGCTCCAGGTGGTCAGAGAAGGAGTTCATAGGAGACAAGGCAGGCCAGCCCAGATTGCCCAAGTAGCACTTGGCTACACCTGCACCAGGCAGTGAGTTCAGTAAGCTTCTTCTTTGCATAAAGCTAGGTGAAGTGAAAGGGGAAGTGGAGGAATCTTTCTGAAAACACCAGATAGCAATGTTGTCCAGTGTGAGAAAATCCAGACCACGACAATCAAATTTAATAGAATTATTTAAGTACTGCTGTGACATTCTAGTGCGAATCACTTCTGAAGGCTAAAGTCATTATATTTTCAGAACTCTCTAGCCTCTGTCTTTCAAGGAAATCACAACCTATTCTCACTGCTACCAGAGATAATGTGAGATTGCAGGCCTGTTGAAATGCACATAATCCAAGGATGTCCCTGAATCTCCCTGGAGGGGAAGAATTTTTCATTCAAACCAGAAAAGCCCTCCTCTGAGCCCTGATCCATCTACTGGAACACCTCCAGCAGGCCATCTATATACCTGATGAAACATCTCAATCATGAGACAACTCACACATTGTCTGACATTTATGAAAATATCCTGACTAATCAGTCTCAGGGGAAGCCACAACTTTTGATCTGAGTAGAAGGCAAGCTGAGTAGTAAATTATAGCCCCATTATACTCTTCCTAGATAATATACCATAACATTTTTACTTAATGTCCTAGAATACAAAATTTGCTACAGGAATGTCTTGGCAAATATATATTGATTGAAATATGTGGGCCTGGTATCTGGTAGCAGAGAGAATAAGTTGTGATTTCCTTGAAAGAGAGAGGCTAGAGAGTTCTAAGAATATGATTTTAACTTCATCACTTACAAGCTATGTAAGTCAAGGCAAATCCTTTTGTTACTTGGAGACTTTAACATCAAAACTTAAAAAAAAACAAAAGTTTCTCAGCTACTTGGAAGGCTGAGGCAGGAGAATCACATGAACCCAGAAGGCAGAGGTTGCAGTGAGCTGAGGTCGCACCATTGCACTCCAGCTGTGGTGACAGTGCGAGACTCCATCTCAAAACAAAACAAACAAAACCTTGACATCTCTTCTTTTGCACCAAGAAATCAATGGCAAAACGTATATTTCACAGTGTATGTGCAACACAAGATTCAGCTTTGTATCCTTTGAATGGTGGCAATATTTAGTTTTATTGTTTTATAAAGGCAAACTGCTATTTGCAAATGTAGGCAATCTGACCATGGAAAGAAACTTTGCACAATAGTTTTATATTTAGGATAACTTTTTCTGAGATATTTGTAGAATTCTGGCATTCCTACATTGCCATATTGTTTTTCAGTATTGTCTTCCCTACTTTAATTATTGCTATTTGTAACTCTTCAGCCCCGCTCTCAGCATTAATTGAAAAAAGCCAATTCAACCATGCTGGTTTATTTTTAGATTTTTACTTTCTGAATTCACTTTTCAATTCAGCAATTTAGGATATGCAGTTCAATCCATTCCTTTTATTTCTGGAAACTGATTTCAGTGAATAGGATTATGATTTTCAGTAATTACTCATAAATGTTTATCTGATAAAGATTCAAAGTATTTAAATTGATTTTATTGTTCAATAAAAAGGCCAAGTATTTGATCTAATCTTTGGTAAGGAGCCAAGGCTAAGAGTGTTCATTGGATGAAATGAACAAGTTATTTTCTTTTCATTCACCATGCCACAAGCAAGCCATCTAAAATTCATGTATAGCTGATCGCCATACTTTGCATCTAATTCATCAAGTAAAGTGTTAACCTGTCTGTGCTTCTAACCTTAAAACCTATCTAACTCATCATTTTAATTACTGCATTTGAGATATGTTCTGTTTTTAACTCTTTAGCACAGAGTGATTCTGATAAATAATATAATGAGATTTAAGTTCTCCGTCATTACAAAACATTACCATCTAGAATTTAAATTTCAAAACAAGTTCAATGTTAGCACCAGTCACAATAGGGTCACCTCTTTATTCTGTGTAAGAAGTTGTCCAGACTACATTCAGTTCTTCAGGACCTGTGGTAGATTACAAAAATGGCCACAAATTCTTCCCTTCCCAAAATCCATATATTTGCAATGTGACTTTGTAGCTGTTTATATAGAGAGGTGGAATTTATTTCTCTAGCTTTTGAATATGTTTTGGCCTGTGTCTTTGTGACATGATAAGCAATATGTCTTTGATCTCTGTCTGTGGTAATCAACTTTGATGAGTGAAATCAATATCGCTTATTATTCTAGTCCTGAGAAAATCAGCAGGGCTTAAGTGGTAAGCAGACTCCTCCAGTCCTCAACCCCTGGTCCCTTACCCACATGTCTTCTCCCACTTGGGTCTAGATTGGAAACATCAACCCAAAGGAAATAATTATCATTGCAATACACTGGCTACAGCTGGGCTAACTAGAATAAACAGCTTAGAGAGGAATATAAATTCCTCTCTAAATAATGTTTTGTATTTAAATAAATATAAAGATAAAAATCTCAAGCTGAAAAACAGCACGAGAACTTCGCAAAGCATACACAAGTTTCAACAGCCAAATCGACTAAGCAGAAGAAAGGATATCAGAGATTGAAGACCAATTCAATGAAATAAAATGAGAAGGCAAGAACAGAGAAAAAAGAGTGAAAATAAATGAACAAAGCCTCCAAGAAATATGGGATTATGTGAAAAGAACTAATCAACATTTGATAAGTGTACCTGAATGTGACGGAGAGAATGAATCCAAGCTGGAAGATACTTCAGGATATTATCCAAGAGAATTTCCCCAACATAGCAAGGCAGGCCAACATTCAAGTCCAGGAAATACAGAGAATACCATAAAGATATTCCTCAAGAAGAGCAACCCCAAGGCACATAATCATCAGATTCACCAGCGTTGAAATGAAGGAAAAAATGCTAAAGGGAGCCAGAGAAAAAGGTTGGGTTACCCACAAAGGGAAGTCCATTAGACTCACAGCAGGTCTCACCACAGAAACCCTACAAGCCAGAGAAAGTGGGGGCCAATATTCAGCATTCTTAAAGAAAAGAACTTTCAAGCTGGAATTTCATATCCAGCCAAACTAAGCTTCATAAGCAAAGGAGAAATAAATAAATAAAGGAAATAAAGAATAAATAAAAGAAATAAAGGACAATTGCTTGTCCTTTATGGACAAGCAATTGCTGAGAGATTTCGCCACCACCAGGCCTACCTTACAAGAGCTCCTGAGAGAAGCACTAAACAAGGAAAGGAACAACCAGTACCAGCCACTCCAAAAACATACCAAATGGTAAAGAGCATCAACACAATGATGAAAATGTGTCAACTAATGGTCAAAACAGCCAGCTAGCATCAAAATGGCAGGATCAAATTCACACACAATATTAACCTTAAATGTAAATGGGCTAATGCCCCAATCAAAAGACAAAGATTGGCAAATTGGATAAAAAGTCAAAATCCATTGGTGTGCTGCATTAAGGAAACTCGTGTGCAAGGACACACATAGGCGAAAAAGGGATGGAGGAAGATTTATCAAGCAAATGAAGAGGGAAAATAAAAAGCAGGGGTTGCAATCCTAGTCTCTGATAAAATGGACTTTAAACCAACAAAGATCAAAAGAGACAAGAAGGGTATTACATAATGGTAAAAGGATCAGTGCATCAAGAAGAACTAACAATCCTAAATATATACACACCCAATACAGGAGCACCCAGGTACATAAAGCAAGTTCTTAACGACCTACAAAGAGACTTAGATTCCCACACAATAATAGTGAGAGACTTTAACACTCCACTGTCAATATTAGACAGATCAACAGGACAGAAAATTAACAAGGATAACCAGGACTTGAACTCAGATCTGGACCAAGCAGACTTAATAGACATCTACAGAAATCCACACAAATCCACAGAATATACATTCTTCTCAGCACCACATCATACCTACTCTAAAATTGACCACATAATTGGAAGTAAATCACTCCTCAGCAAATGCAAATGAATGGAAATCATAACAAACAGTCTCTCAGACCACAGTGCAATCAAATTAGAACTCAGGATTCAGAAACCAACTCAGAACCACACAACATCATGGAAACTGAACAACTGGCTCCTGAATGTTGACTGGATAAACAGTGAAATGAAGGCAGAAATAAAGATGTTTTTTGAAACCAACAAGAATGAAGACACAATGTACCAGAATATTTGGGACACATTTAAAGCATATCTAGAGGGAAATTTATAGCAATAAATGCCCACCAGAAAAGTGAGGAAAGATCTAAAATTGACACTCTATCATGAAAATTGAAAGAGGTAGAGGAGCAAGATCAAATAAACTCAAAAGCTTGCAGAAGACAAGAAATAACTAAGATCAGAGCAGAACTGAAGGAGATAGAGATACAAAAAAATCCTTCAAAAAATCAATAAATCCAGGAGCTGGTTTTTTGAAAAGATCAACAAAATAGACCGCTCAGTAATTAATAAAAAAGAGAGAAGAATCAAATAGATGCAATAAAAAACAATAAAGGGGATATCACCACTGACTCCACAGAAAAACAAACTACCATCAGAGATTACTACAAACAACTCTATGCACATAAACCAGTAAACCTGGAAGAAATGGATAAATTCCTGGACACTTGCACCCTCCCAAGCCTAAACCAGGAAGTAGTTGAAACCTTGAACAGACCAATAACAAGGGCTGAAGTTGAGGCAGCAATTAATAGCCTACCAATCAAAAAAAGTCCAGGTCCAGACCGGTTCACAGCTGAATTCTACCAGACGTACAAAGAGGAGCTAGTACCATTCCTTCTGAAACTATTGCAAACAATTCAAAAAGAGGGAATCCTTCCCAAATCATTTTATGAGACCAACATCATCCTAATACCAAAACCTGGCAGAGACTCAACAAATAAAGAAAACTTCAGGCCAATATCCATGATGAACATAGATGTAAAAATCTTCAATAAAGTACTGGCAAACCAATTACAAAAGCACATCAAAAAGCTTATCCATTACGACCAAGTAGGCTTCATTTCAAGATGCAAGGCTGGTTCAACATACGCAAGTCCATAAACATAATTCACCACATAAACAGAACCAAAGACAAAACCCACATGATTATCTCAATAGATACAAAGAAGGCCTTTGACAAAATTCAACAGCCGTTTATGCTAAAAACTCTCAATAAACTAGGTATCGAGGGAACATATCTCAAAATAATATTTAAAACAAACCCACAGCCAATATCATACTGAATGGGCAAAAACTGGAAGCATTCCCTTTGAAATCTGGCACTAGACAAGGATGCCCTCTCTCACAAGTCCTATTCAATATAGTATTGGAAGTTCTAGCCAGAGCAATTAGGCATCTATTACAATTTTTTAGCACGCAAGTGATAATGCTCAGTGCTCTACTCCAAATAGATAAAGCCACATTATGCCAACAAAAGGCTTGTCGTCTTGGTAACCAGTTACAGTTTTTATGTTCCATGTTCCCCTTTTGTATTCTATTGTGTTGAAACAACCCCTTCAGTTTCTTTCTTTTTTTCTTTTTTTTTCTTTTTTTGAGACAGAGTTTTGTTACCCAGGCTGGAGTGCAATGGCGCGATCTCGGCTCACCGCAACCTCCACCTCCCGGGTTCAGGCAATTCTCCTGCCTCAGCCTCCTGAGTAGCTGGGATTACAGGCACGCGCCACCATGCCCAGCTAATTCTTTGTATTTTTAGTTGAGGGGTTTCACCATGTTGACCAGGATGGTCTTGATCTCTTGACCTCGTGATCCACACGGCTCAGCCTCCCAAAGTGCTGGGATTACAGGCTTGAGCCACCGCGCCCGGCCCCCCTTCAGTTTCTTTATTGAAAATACTCCTAATCATCTCTGGATCTGTGTAGACAGTAAAGACAAAGTGAACTTTTGGTCTAACTGATCCAGACAGACAATCCTTTGAATTGCTCACAACCTAGTTGTTCATTAGACCACATGCAGAGCTTTTAAAAACACAGATGCCTGGACCCTATTTCCAAACTATGGATTATCTGTCTTTCTTAAAAAGTCAATATGTAATTCTCATGAATAATTGCATTTGAGAACTCAAACATTTGGTTTTTATGGAATCTTCATAAAATTCAGATGGAATGTATGTGTCAAGGAGAGGCCAAGAGCCTGTCTTTCAAGACAATCCTTAGCATGTCTTCAGTGTACAGCACAATAATTAATGACTGAGGAAGAAATGAATGAATGATGAGACTCCACTGGCCTTACACAGGCCTGTTCACCAAAGTTCTGAGTCTGACCCTCAGACTCAGCCTGAGCCTAGTGGCTCCATGTTCCATCAAACATTGTCCAAAGCTGACTTGTGTTGGGGATGCAAAATCTTGGTAGCAGACATCATAAACTATGAATAGACACGTCCAGAATGCATATTTATTAATAGACAGTAATAAGTATACTTGTCAACTGGACTGGATATTCCTGTTACCCTGACCAGTGCACCCTCTTTCCACATGTGAAACCGAGACTCCATAAGTTGCTTGGGGAGCTTGGAGTCAGGGCCCGTGAGCAGATGCTGCTAGTGTGGATTCTGCTGGCAATCTGGAGTCTGAGCTTTTCTTGTACATTGTAGGACTTACCAGATCAGGGCAATAGTCTTACCAGATCAGGGCAAAATAATCTCCAGCTTAGCAGATCACTTCATTTGTCTCTGTCACTTACCTTTCTTTGTGCTTCATTTCTTATTGTCTATCTTTCTGATTGACATACTGTTTCTTAGGTCACGTGAGGTTAAGTCTTGCCCTGCATGGTAAACTAGAATTTCTATATCTCTCCTGTGATCTGGGTATACAGAATTACATTTAACTGCTAAAACACAAACAAACAAACAAAACCTCCCAAACTTACTTCTCTTACTTCCCAGTTCTTAGTAGAGGGAATGGAGGAAGAGGACATCCCTCAGTATACCACATTCTGGGTAGTACCTGCTGAATCGCCAAACTGCATTGGTAGACAGATCCAGTGAGAATAACTGTGAACTAGTGAATGAGATTCTGTAGCTCTTAAGGTTAGAATCTTCACCAAATGTATCACTTAGCCTTTCAGCAAGCTGCTGTCACATATGAAATAGCAAAACAACAACAAGAAAAAAACTCTAAAAGATATAATACATAATTAACATCTGTTTAATTTAAAATATTCACTAAATGCACAATTTCTAGAAAAACATAAATTATTTACATTGATTTACATGTGTGTATAACCCTCAAAAAACCAACACAGGAAATATTGTAAAATATATATTAGTCTTTTTTCTTTCAAGGGCTTAAGGATCAAATCCTATTGACAGTGGATTCACTCAAACTAGTAATGAATAGATCATTTTCGTAATAACAAATACAATGTACATCTTGGCAGAAGATTGAAAGCTCTCATTTGTGGTTCAGAGAACCTGACAAAAAAGGAAATAAAGTCTGCTTGGACAGTTCTCACTTCCCTTCCTCTGCTGGAAATTTTTTCCTGGTGAATTCAACTCCCAGCTTTCCAAGGAGCCCAAGGAGCAGAAGGCCTTTCACAAGCATCGTACACAGTAATGGGAGTACAAGTGAAGTTCCAGTCCCTGTTGGGTCAGACACAGAGCAGGGAGAGAGAGGCCACTGGGTGACTGACGCCTGGGGCGGCTGCGCTTCCTGCAGGGGGCTAGCTCGATGCCAGATACTCTGTTCCACCTGACAGTTTGTGGCTGGGAATAAGCCTATGTGACTTTGTCAAAGAGAGTTACCTAGAATCTAAGAATGTGCCATTGGAAGGAAACTTACCATAGAGTCCTGCCCCTCCTGCACTTACAATACCCCCACCAAGCGGCTATGGCTGTGCTTACACCCCACCAATGGCTGGGACCTCACTGTTGTCCTAAGGCTTCCATTCCATTTTTGTATGACTCTGACTTTAGAAAGCTCTTCTCTAATATTATGAGTCAAAACTTGCCTTTCTCTAACTTCTTCATGTTTCCCAGTTGAAATCACTTGCTACAAATATGACTCCTCACACACTCAGTGGCTGTTCAAGTAGGATTCAGAGCAGAGCAGAAGTAAATGCCTAGTATAGCTCTTCTTTTCTCTTCCTAAAAATCTCTGATTCCATCCCTTCCCTGGATAGTTTCCTGGAGCATATGCAAATTTTTACTGGATCTTCCCAGCTTGCATTTATTGTCAAGAGGTGGCAAGATTGGCATAGGATGCTCAATACAACTCCCCTTCCCCCAATCTCCAGGAAAAGAAGTGTCTTCTGAGCTGAGCATACTCACCTTGCTGGACACTTTTTTGAGCCCAACATACTTCCCCAAGGTCTTTGGTGGCAGTTTTCTGGTCCACATTGTTGCTGACCACACAGGTGAGGCTGGCATTGCGCTGGCTCGGGGACAGGCTCACAGCCAGAGTCCATGAGTTGGGGGATGGTCCAAGTGTCCCTCTCTGCTCCAGCTCCCTGGGGAGACCCTGGGTCTCCCAGATTACGTCCAGGTCCTCTGTGGTCCCTAGAACCCTGCACTTCATGGTGAGGTTGCACCAGGCTGCTGAGATGGATGATGACTCAGTCAGGATCTGTGGGAGGGGCACAGGCTCTGGGAAGGAGGAAACAAAATCACGATAATTATTATCATAAGGCATATTCTCTATTGATTATCTAATTTAGTTTCAGAGCACTTTGCCAAGCAGACAAGATATTTCACAGCCAAAGAAACTGAGATTTGAAGAAGTAAAACAGTTTGCCCAAAGTCATATCCTGAGAAAGTGGTAGAGAAGAATCCCAGATTTAGAGAAGGGGTGGCAGCCAGAGTCTCTCAGCTTCCTCCACCACTTGTGTGTCCCCTGCCTGTACTATATGAAGCCAAACCCACATTCATTGCCCTTCACACACCTCATCAGATCCTTACAATCCCCAGAGAACTTGGAGGGTACAATAAAACCTCTTGGGAAAATACCTTTCACCAAAGAATTTGCAAAGCTAGTTCTGAACACTAGGTTTGAGACTCAAGCTCTCATTTATACTGAAGGCATACAAACTTAGGATCTGGAGATCAAGGGAGATTAATTTCTTTATAAAGAGCTATGCTGTGAGTCTCCTCCATACCTCATGCATACCTGCCCTTCACCTCAAGCTTGGTGAGAGGGGCATCAATTAGACCATTCAGAGAGCTTGATGTGTGCTCCCTGCAGCTTGGGGATGCACTGGACAGGTTCCTGACTCACATCTGAGAAACCCAAAGTGGGAGATGTTGCTGAAACAGCCCATGTCCGAAGAGTCAGGATGGCCAGTAGGGAAACTGCATCCCCACTGAAGAGTCAAAGGAACCTGGTTTTCATCTGCTGGACATAGGACCTTAAAAGAATTTGTCAAGAGGGCCACTTGGAGGAGCAATAGAACCCTAGTAGGGAAAGTCTGGATGGAAATGGACCAGCCAGGAAGCAGGGGCCAAAGAGAGAGCCATCAATGGTCTCCCTGAGAGTGCGTTGTGAATGACAAAGTAAGTGACAGATTCCTACTGTCAGATAAGAGGCTCTCTATCCAGAGAAGCTATGAAAATGCCCTGGGGGAGAAAGAATCAGCCTGGACACTATCAAGCTCAGAGAATCCACCGATGCCCATATAGAACTACTCAGGAGAGACTTTCCCGTCTTTTCTACTCCATCCTCTTTACTGCTTCTCCCTGCCTGCCCTCATGGATTTGGGAAAGGAGTTCCATCTTCTGGCTTTTCTGTCACCTTTGTAGGTGTTTGCAGGGAATTTTCTCCTGATCTTTGGGTATGGTTCTCCACATCTGTTGCGGATAGGACTGGTCCTGCTTGTCTGGGGCTGGGGTGGGCACGTGTAACTGACAGGTGTGGTTCCTGCCACAGCCTCTGTAATGAGGTCTACACACCCTGACCTTCCTTATTTTGGCCTTGGGCATCTTCTGGCCCATGTCCCGTCTCAGTAATTCATTTCCCTATGGAGGCCCATGAGAACTGCAGAATCTCCCAGCATCAATGCACAGGCTGAGGAGAGCTTGTAGCACTTAGACGCCCTTGTTCTGCTGAAACATAGTATGCCCCAAGTTCTGCTCAACAGGGCTCCCTGGGAGGAGGCCCTGCCCTCCCTTGTTCAAAGGTAAGTGGGACCTAATTCCCCTGCCTTTGTTTTTCTAGTCGACCTATCTGGAGGTCCTATCACTTGGCCTGCTCTGCTCTCTTCTGCCTCACAGCCCCCTCTGTTGAGCCCTAGGAAATGGTGATATCAAGTCCCTTCTAAGTTGTAATCAGTTTCAACTTTAGGCATTTCTTCAATGCTTACTTAGTTCCAGAGTGTTATATACAGATGGTGGAAAATTACTCACGTATCTTACCTGGCATTTTTTTAGTTTGTGACTTGGAAGAACTCTATCCTCTGAATCTACAGTCTTTGATTTGGAACACACAAATCTATTTTTTTTCTAGCAATACAGTTTGGTTCTTGCCTATTTTGGCAGTCAAGAGGCGAACACCGCGTTCTGCATTCTCAGCAGGGTTCTAACCTCTGCCTGAAGTAATAGCTGCCTGCACCCCAAATGTCAGGCGTTTGTTGGCAACAAGAATTACAGAAAAGGAAAAGATACTTTGGAAACTTCCAAAGAAGAAGGCACTTGAACTGACTCAGCAAGCCTCTCCTAACACTCTGACCACACAAGAGTGCTTGATAAAAACATAACAAAAATATTTTAATTATATAACTTAGGTTCAGAAAAACTCCAGGAACAGAAACAAGAGATAACTCAATGCTGAGCAGGTGAGTGGGATTTGAAGTTCTGGAGACCCAAGAAGTTATCAGAACCAGAAACCGACCTTAGGGGCCCCCGTTGTGATACCCCTACATAAGGATGAAGTCTAGGCTGTGCTTGTGCCTGTAGTGAGGCTGCACAAAGCCAGATGAGGGGTTGGGGTGGATATAGTCTGTCTTCTCATTTAGGAAATTAGGTTGGGGAATGCCACCTGTCCTGTCTTAAAAATGGGATCCGTGAGGAATTGGAATCCAATCCTGCACAGTGAATTAGTGTGGACATTAACTCTCACTCCGTGCTAGAACTTTGAGCTTAGAAACAACCTTAAAAATAGATGAAACCTATAGGACCCCAGCAGAGGAAACAATAAATCCATGAGGAGACTTCCTCAGCTCAGGGTGCAGTTTGGACTCTTGTAAAGAACAATTACTGCTGAAAATATGATAACAGTAAAAAAAAATTACCAACATGTTAGGAAATGCACAAGCTTCTGATAGAGAGCAAAGGCCACTAACCAGAAGTCACAGTCTGGGAACCACAGTTAACAGAGAAATTTGCAGTGTAGCTTCAGAAAACTATGCTTAAACTCTAGAAAGAGCTAAAGGGAGAAGTCAAGACTGTAATACAAATCAAAACATTTTGAAGAAACAACAGGCAGGAAGAAATGAGAAGGGAAAACCTTAAGCAAAGAAGCAGGTAAAAGACATCAGCAAATATAAGAAAGTATAAATTATATATTTATAGCTATATAGTCAGGTAATATTTTAAACTTACTGCGTAGGAAAGTAAATCCAGGGAGTTATAATCTTGGGCGCCTGTGCCTGTCAGGCGTGGACCTCCACTGACTAAGACTATCTCATTAAGGGCCACAGTGGGAGCAGGTGCCTTCAGGAACCACTGGGGCAGGAGATGCTCTATCCCCAGCGGTGGAAGCAGAAGGCTTGGTTAGCCCCAGACACCTACTGTAGACATGGGCTGCCCACTTTCCCCAAAGGTCTTTAATCGTTTCTTATATATATTATTTTCTTGGAGGCATTGATTGTATCATCATTATTATATTGTTAATTTTCTGTTTTTTTTTTTAATTTATTAATTGGTCTAACTCAGATCTTCATTTGGCACCACTGATGCCTGTGACTGGGTGAGCTATCAACCCGAATAAATGTACTACAAATTTACCACACACTAAGGTAAAGATAAAATGTTACAATAAGCAGAGGTAGAAAAGATGGATTATCTACAAAAGAATGAAAGGAAAATTACAACACAGCAGGATTATTAACTATTAATTAAATCATTAATTGATTTAATTAATCGTTGAATTATCTATTCAATGGAACTGTTATTCAACAAGGATAAAATAAAGATATTTCCAGGCAAATTCGAACTGAGAATGCACGCCACCATTAGACAAGCACTAAAGAAGTACTTCATGAAGAAGGAAGATGGTCCTGGAAGGAAAGTTTGAAAAGGGATAAGAAATAGTGAGCAGAGAAATTGGCAAACGGAATAAATCTGGACACTGATTTCAATAAAAAACAGTAACTTATAATTGTGGTTGTGGAAATATAGAAAAATAATATTGGATAAGACAAGAAGAAGAAAAGTTTGAAAGTGCATAAAAGCCCTTTAATTTTTAGGAAGTAGATATAAAGAGATACTTACGTAGGCTTTGTGTTAGATAAACATGTAAAAATTTTGAGTCAAATCTCTACATGAATAGAAATACAGTGTATAAATTCCAAAAAAGTAGAGAAAAAGTGGAATAAAGATTTAAACTTTGAATGAAGGAAAGAAGAAACTAGATTAAACACAACAAATAGAAGGAAATAATAAGGTGATAGAAATAATTCCATATACATCAGCAGTTACATTTCCTTAAATGGGAGAAACCTCACCAATTAGATACTAGAAATGAAGAGATTTGAGAGAAAGCTAAATCCAGCTAGTGTTTATAAGAGACAAGACAGGGAGAAAGGAGATTGTCTGAGTCCATTTGGGCTTATGGCATTTTAGTAATAAAATACCATGGACTGGGTGTCTGATAAACAACGGAAATTTATTTTTCACAGTTGAAGGCTGGAAAGTCTAAGGTCAATGCATCAGTAGATGCAAGGTCTGGTCAGGACTTGCTTTCTGTTTCATAGATGGTACCTTCTCACTACATCCTCGCATGATGAAGAGGGGAAGCAGCTCTTTAGTGTCTCTTTTACAAGGGCACTAGCCCCAGAGATGAGATCTCTGCATGACCTAATCATCTCCCAAAGACCCTACCTCCTAATATCATCATCTTATGCAATGGGTTTCAATGTATGAATTTGGGGAGGGCACATATAATTTAAACCATAGCATGGGTCATATAACAATTCTTCATCTACTAGCAATGTGTAATAATACTTTCAATCACATACCCTTATAATATATAACATGAAATTGACAGAATTGTAAGAACAGAAAGATAAATCTATTTTTATAGTAGGAGACCTTAGTAGGAATCTCAGTAATTGAAAAATACAGACAAAAATACGTAAGAAGAAAAATTCTAATTTGATTTAATAAAGAGCAAACCTAACACTCAATAATTAAAGGATGGATTTAATTTTCAGGTACAAATGGAACATTTATAAATGTTGACTATCACTACTACTGCTAGTAGTCCACAAAGAAAATTTCAATGAATATTCAAGAGTACTCTCTTTTCCACCTATAATGTGAGTTGTTTCCTGCCTCTAGGGATAATGCTTCAAAGATCATCTGTGTCCTCCCCAGCCTCTATTGCACAATTACAGACACCCAATAAATATCTGATTATTTTGCAACATCAAAGGGCAAATTTAGAGAGATTTAGCAAAGATCCAGAAGTCTTGAGACTTTTTGGAGTCTACTGATAATTATTCCACTCCTAATGCACTAGCAGAGAGAAGACCTCAAGATAGCACCAGAATCTAAGATAGACCCCTGCTCACCACTTCAAGGAAAAAAGGAACTAAGTTGTAAGCAATGTCCCTACTCTACCTTCCTTTTTCTGGCTCCAATGTCCATTTTTACAAAAACTTACTCTGCACACGAATTAGGGATCTCGGGCTTTCTTTTTTGACGGTGTGAGCCACAGTATCTATCTCGCACCAGAAGGACCCTGCATCTTCACTCCACATGACAGTAATCTGGAACTTCGAGGAGTTGGTCCAGCCTAATCCCAGGGTCTGGCCATCTCTGAAGAAGCAGAACTGGAGCTGGACATCTGACCTCTCTAGAGAGAGCTGGGTGTCACAGGTCAGCGTCACTAGGCTCCCGTTGATGGGCTGGGAGGAGCTTGCTCTCAACACTGGACGTGAAAACAGCTCTAGAGAGAAGAATCACAACAACAGTCCCAGAGCAATGAGGCTGGGATGTGCTCTGGAGAAAAACACACTTCAAGCAGTAGCACATCCAAAAGCAAGCAAAGAAAGGGATGTCATCAACCCCTAGCTTCCTTCAGTCCAAAGCACTGTTTCTCCTCTGGTCCTTGCAGGAATGTCCCCGTGATTTAATGATATTCCAGCCCACTCTTTTCCTCCCATTCTACCTCTGTGACCCCGGGGAGTCTCCTTTTGACCAACTCACTTTACAAAATGACGAAGGCTTTACCTTGGACTTGGATTTTGACTATGTTGGAAGAAACAGGGAAATTACTTCTATTAAATCCAGTACAGTGATATGCACCATTGTTCTTGAGACTTGCATGATAAATCCGGAAGTCGGAGCTTTTATTAAGGAATGCTAGGACATTATCATCCTTGTAAATAGTATTTAGTGTTATTTCCGCCTTTGCCCGGCACCTCAGAACCACGAAGTCTCCTTCAAACACAGAAACTGGAGCTTGCAGGATCAGTGAAGCTAAGGGAAACACAGCCGCAGTTACTTGGTTCATCTCATTGTTCCCCTTTCCTTTCATTGTTTTTCCAAGTAGACTATATTGCAAAGAAATGTGTTGGGAGAAAGGATTATTACAATAATTATAATTTCTTTTTTTCTGTTTAAACACATGAGCCTTGAGAAAAGTTGAAAAACCAGGCACATGTTGGCATATGTTTTTCCGTTTTCTCTTCCTTCTTCAACTACTTGACAGTCTGTGTATGTTTTATGGAATAGAAATTATATTTATAGATTTGATAACTTGCTTTTCAATTTGTATATTACAAACACTTTCTTGTGTTATTAATATCATTCCTGAACCCGATTTTCAGTGGCCACAAAATGTTCCCTTAATGGCAGTAACTTAATTTATTAAATGAGGCTTATTCTTGACCATTTAGGGCCTGCAATTTTCAGGGATGTATATCTATGATTGTTTCAGCAGGCAAATTCTGAAGAGGGATTGTTAAGTCAAAAACATAAGCATTTTATTTGTTTCTTGCTACCAAATTGCTTCTTTTTTCACTAAATTAAAGGACTTTAGGATGCCATGGTTTCAATTTCAAAACAGTTGGTTTTCGGACAAAAAAAGAAATACCTCTTCCTTTGGCTCTCATTCTCTCTCAAATGCTGTATCATCTAACTCTCTCTCTTTTTCTTTCTCAAAATAGAAAAGAATATTCCTTCTACTTATTATTCCAGACACATAATATGGCTTAAAACTATAAATAGATTCGAGAATTCTTCAAATAAATTACTCCTCAAATATTCTTTTACCAGAGCAGCTTGAAAAATACAAATTCCTGGGACCTACTCTTATTTTATTCGGTAAACATAGGGTAGGTCTTGAGTATCTGTATGATTAATAAGCTGCTCGGGATATGTGACTCAAATTGAATTTTAAGAACCACAGGTTTAGAGACATTAATCCACTCAATGGAAATTGCAGTGTTTGTATGGTTCATCCAAGCAACCTTTAGTCATTATTTGTGATAAGTACGTCCTCCTAGATACACTGCTTGAAGTCACTGTCCCTTGGGCTGAATGAGTTTTATGCAGAGAATTTAAATTTTCTTCATTTTAGTGTTTAAAATTAAGCAGCTAATCCCATTCCCTGTCTGGTTGTATTCTGAGCTTTTTACTATCTCCCCGCCTTACCAGAGTGTGAAATAAAATTGTCCACTCACAAAGGGTCTGAAGTCATAACAGCTAGAGAGAAACATGGGCTGAATTGATTTCTCAAGTCGGTGCGTCTTTCACACTCTCTCACCTGAAGAGAAGACCAAGCGCACAGGGCTACTGGGCGAGGATCCCCGGGCCTGGCATCTGTACTCTCCAGATTCTCGAACCTCGAGGGTATTTGCTGGGGTTTCTCTTGGTATCTCTTTCCCAAGGTACAAACGGAACCATTTTGTTTTCTGTTGTGGGTAGAAGGGAAATCCCTTGCAAGTCAGAGTCACTCTTTCTCCTTGGAAGACTGTGGTCCATGGAGGCTGGAGGGAAATAATGGACTTGTGTGTCCTTGCTGAGGAGGAAAGAGAAAAGGAGTCTAAGGTGGAGACGCCCGAAGGCCCAGGCTCAGGGCCTCCCGCTGCATAGCCTGGCCCTCACCTCACCCAAGGGAGAAATTGCCCGGGGGATGACAATGAGCAAAATGATTTCAGGAAGGTGACACCAGCAGGATTCACCATCAAACGTCACAATTAAGTAGCCTTACATGGAAGGGGGTCCCAGAGAAAACCACCACTGCACTGCCATTTCATCATCTTCATACACTCACAAGAACCTCCAAAGGTGATTTTAAAAATCATAATGTTGCACTTACCCTGAGAGAATATGTCATATTATCTTAAGATTTGTCACTGAAAAAACCTTGGCAGCTCAACTTACTTAACATCTTCATTTTGTAGATGATGATTCAAATGCCCAGAAAAATCCCATCATAGCTAATTGTGGCAGAGCAAGGGAGGGACAAGTCACGCACTGGCATCCAGAGGTGAGCAGGACAAGGTTACAGCTTTGGCCACTGATTTGGACAAGGAGAGGGATTGTAGAGGGTTCTTGCTCTTCACAGGTTCTCAGTTATTCACTCTGAGCCAAAGGAATGGCAGGAAGAGCCAGAACTAATTAAATGTGGGATGCCAATGACTTGTCTTCTCCCCATATCCCCTTTCTGTGCCTTTCTTTTTTTTCAAGGACCCAATTGTTGGATTTTCTGTTCCCCACACATTTCCTGGAGGATTTTACTCCAAAGCTATAGAGAATGCAGCATTCCTGCTGACATCAGCACAGTGGGATGTTTTCAGAGGGATTTTTCTGGCTTGCTGATTGGAGAGGATCCTATCTTGAGTCCAGCATAATTGCCATGGAGTTGAAGATGTCCTTCCTGGCTAAGTGGAGTCTGTTGGCAATAACAGTAAATGCAGAGCCTAGCAAAGGCCAGGAGCTGCTTGTGCATTCACCACTTCACCCAGGAAGGGTCAGAGAGTGACCAGGCACTATCCTAGCCCTTGGGCAATGCCAAAAAACCAGGCATCACTTTGAAATCCCTGCTGACCTCAGCAAGAAAACAGGAGATATTAGAGATCTCAGGCAACTGTCACAAATGTTTTCTATTCACTAGGAAGAGACACTCTTATCCAGAGACACTGAAGAGCCAAAGACAGGAGAACTCACCAAGCTGTCCACTGACAGGAGCTGCAAAACATAAGAGCCAGAGATAAGCACAGAGCCAAGATTATTTTGCTTTAAGAAGATAATTCCCTTTTTTTCTCATGCATATATTACTTCTCCCATTAAAAAATTCATTTTAAAAAAATCTAATAATTATTCATCAAATGTTCATATATACTAAGGCATAGTGCTTGGACTTCAAAAATGGTATCTGTTGTCAAGAAGTTGACTGGTGGAAAAACAGAAACATGATGTAAAGTAATATAATTGTAACACAGGATGTAAGTGCAGTAACAGAAATACACATGGGATATCTTGGGAGCAGAAGGGTCACCTAGTCCAGTGTGTAGGATATATGTGCATGTGTAGAGTATAGAATGTGTGTTTGTGTGTATGTATGTTGAAGAGGGTGGATGGATCCTGGAAGGTATCTGAAGGAGATGATACTTTGGAAAACTGTGGGTGAGAACATAACTGTGAGTGAGTCTGCAGGTGGATGTTAGCTTTTGTGCGTGGCTAGCGGTGCTGGGGAGGGTAATCAAGACACAAAGGGCACAGAGATGGAGAAAAAACATAGGTGCTCAGGAGTTGGGAGTGTTGGCGAAAATAAGATCAGAGAGGAATGCAGGGCCCCAGTAAGTGGCTGTGATTTTATTATAAAAGCTGTAAGGAGTCATGGAAAGGTTTCAAGGAGGAGGTTGACAAGGTTAGAAGTTGAACTCAGTGGAGCAATCTGTCAGTGGTCACACCTCAATGGGACAATACGAAGCAGGGACACTGATTAGAAGGCAGGGAAAGAAAAGGGACATGAATTATAAGCCTCCCTTGGGCACCAAACTCCAGGCTACACCCTTTTCATGAAATCATTAGATTCAAGGGCTTGTTAACATCTTGTTTTAAGTTTTAAATAATTGAATTAGTCTCAGATCATTTTGCCCCTCGTCACAGAGACAGAATGTTACAAAGATAGGATAAACCTCATTGTCTCTAAAGTTTAGTACCATGCTCTTTTTATTCAACTATGCTCTCTGTTTGAGAAAGTCTGAGAAAGAGACCCTAACGTTAGATAGGCTAGCAAAAGCCTTATATCTTGTTCGGGGATGGCCAAGGAACCAGAGAGTACACATGCTGCAGGGTAGTTATGGGACTTTCTTCATATGATTTCTTATATCAGGGTCTTAAATTGATCAGAACAAATAAGTAAATATTTGGGGATAGAATGTTCCTTACTTACATCAAAACAGCTTCTGACCCTTGTGCAGACTGGGGGCTGGGAAGATGAAACACAGTATCGTCAGTATCAAATACTGACTACTGGGCACACTGCTAGGTTTGGAGGATAAGCAATGGGTTTTACGAAGCCTGCAGGTCAGTAAGCAGCCGTTACGGGGAGTGTTTGTGTATTCTATAATTCTGCTTTTTTTCCATTTACCCAATAATATTTTCAAGTTTTTCTCGCCAATGAACATGAATTCCTTATATCATATCTCAATTATTTGGCTTACTTGCTACAAATATCCTAATACAACATTAGTTTCTATTAAGTTGGGTTATTATTATAATATCTAAGTTTTTAACTTTTAGATTTAAAATCTCTACTGCTTCAATGTTTAGGAATCATATTAAAAACAGCCTTAATTTTATTTTCCATTCGTTTTTAATAATTAAAAAATATAATTATCTAGACTTTATTTTTAAATTTATAGCAAATTGAAAATATCTATTGTTTTATAATGCCTATTTTTATATATTAGATAACATGTAATTAGATACATTTATGGGTTTCTATTATTTTCCATTGACCTATATTTACATGAAATCTATTTTTTAATGTGTAAATTAGATTTCCAACATTTCCGTTTTATTTAGAAAATCTATCCTTTGGCATTCTTACCGATATATATATTTTTCTAGGTATATTTTTGAACATTTTAGTGAGTTTCATGGAAAATTCCACAGGTAGTTTGAAATTACACAGCATCTCCAAATCCACTTGGAGAGAACTGATCTTTTTATAATATCTCTACTTTAGTACTCCTATCCAGACTGATGATATGTCCTTATTCATTGAAGATTCCTTTGTACAATTTTATATATCTCCTTTTCTAGGTTAAAAAAAAACTCTATTCCTATGCTTTCACTTTTATTGCTATTTTAGATGATTTCTTCATTATAATCTCCAAGTGGTAATTCATAATATTCCTGGATTTCATAATTTTGGATACTTATCTTGAATCTTCCCAATTTATGAATATTCATACATTTCTAACTACACCACATAGATGGTATGATAGCACATAGCAATAATAGCAAACAAGCTGGCGACAAATAAATGCCGTGGGAATGAATAAAGAATAAATAATACTTTTTAAAATCTTGGCTGCCTATTTTTGCTACTAATTTAGTGTGTTGGCAAGGATTTAAAAACTATTGCAAATTATGATGATTGTAGTCATCTTGGTTCTAGCTCCAATTTGAATGGCAATTTTAGTCCTGTTTTTAATGTGTAATATTGCCTGTCAATCTAGAACACATATTCTTTATCATGTTAAGTAAGTATTCTTCTGGCTTAAGAATACTTCCTTTTGGAATGGATATTGATTTTTAATACTTATGTCAATACTTTTGACACCCATTGTCATCATATGATTTCTTTTTCTGTTTGTTTGTTTTTTGTTTTTATTTTGAGAGACTGAGTCTCAGTCTGTTGTCCAGACTGGAATGCAGTGGCATGATATCGGCTCACTGCAGCCTCAGCTTCCCAGGCTTAGGTGATCCTCCCACCTCAGCTTCCCAAGTAGCTGGGACTACAGGTACGAAACACCACACCCAGCCAATTGTTTTGGTAGAGATGGGGTTTCACCATGCTGCCTAAGCTGGTCTCAAATTCTTGGGCTCAAGCGATCTGCCCACCTCAGCCTTCCAAAGTGCTAGGACTACAGGCATGAGCCACTCTGCCCAACCCATATGATTTCTTTTATTCAGCATTTTGATGTTTTTTAAATATAATAAAAGTGAATTTCCATATAGTCTTCAGTTCTGTTATAAATCCTATGTGGCACTATTTAGTGTAAAGATTAAAATGAATTAACCCATGTAAATTACTAGTGAGCACTCAATAAATATTAGCATTTCTATTATCACCATTTTTGTTTTGATGTGCTCCTAAATTCTTATTTAAGAGGCCAGGGGCTTATATTCCAAAAAAGCTTGCCCATCCCCCTCTAAGCCTAGAGACTGCCGTAGGGCAGAGCACAACAGAAGCTTTTATGAGCATCTGAGGTTAGTGCTCAGCCCCTGCCCCCATCCAGGTCCTAATTCATAGTGTCCACTCACCTAGAACCAGCATCAAAGGCCACAGCAACATGGGGACCTGTTCTGGGAAATCCAAAGGAAGTTTATCCTGGAGATTGACTGTACAATTCAGGTCTGAGGACAGATGCTCTCCACAGTGGCACCCATGAGCACTGCCTAGGAGATTTTGGAGAATTTGAAAAAGGGAAGCCAAAGATACTGCTATTAGCTAATTGGCATTTCCTCTCCTGTGGGTCCTAAGGAAATGCTTTCTTTTTTTTTAAGTCTTCCTAAATACAGGGTGACATTATGGTTGGACTAGACAAGAAGCTATCCAGGGACTTTAAGACATGCTGTCCTATTGGAAAGGCTCAAGTCTCCTTAGCTTCTGTGTCTAGGGGACTTCATTCACTCATTTAACAATTATCTATTGAGTATTCACTGTGTTTCACTGGTTGCACAGTTTTGAACAGAGGTGACATGATCCTTGTCTTCATGTAATTTCTAGTCTAATGAGGGTAGAAAGACTTTATAGAGAATAGCATGTCCTCTATTTCCTATTAGGCTCTAAAAACTGATCTTTCAACAGAGTACTTCTTATCTGCCACTTTTTATATACCGTGTGGTTCCTTACAGATTCTATTTTGCCTGTACCCTGCAAGCACTCTCCTATGCTCTAAAGGCTATTGGCTCTCACCTTGAGCAAAAATCCCAACTTCTTCCTCACTATTAAATGAGTTAAGAGGCAAAAGCACTTCAAATAGTGCCCAGCATATATAATACATAAATAAATGAAAAATAGATGCCTATTTGTCTTGAACTTGGCATGCACTAAATTGCTCCAGTCCACTTCCAGAGTACATACTGCCTAGCTCTTTTTCACCCAGTGGATCCTTAGTGCTCCATAGATTTTACAAGTATCCCAAGTTTTTTCCATGACAGTTCCACAGGTGAGTGTGTGGCCAGTGCTCTGAGTGACAATAATACCATACAAGTGTCCAGGAAGCTTCCTTGGTAAGAAATATCTCTGGGGGGGGTGGTTCCCTGCTTTAGACACCAGTAAAGAATGCAAAAGGGTCTTTCCCAGTAGTGGATTCTATGGTTGAAAGACCCTGGGACTTCCTGTGACATACACAGGTCCTGGAAAGTGTCAGAGAGACACTAAGGAACACTGTTCAGGAGCAGATGACTACCTCCCTCCTTCACCCAAATCTTCTTCTTTCCTTTCCCCTCATTCTCATTCCAGGTCCATCCACCACTTCTTTTGACTGCTGCATTCAAGACATTTATTCTCTTTTCCAAAGTAGAGATTAGTTGTCTATTAGGGAGGGCTTAGCCCATAGAAGCTCCTAAAGACCTAGTTCTTCTAGAATGAAGGAGGGTTAAGTTCTTCAATCCCAAAGGCCTGTTTATCTTCTTGGAGGTGGAGGTCACTGTTCCCCGAGCCCTTCTCCATGCCCCTCCCCCCACTACAAGTTCACACAAACATATACAGTCATTATGGAGTGAAGACACTTCCTGTCATATTTTTGTTAAAAAACATAAAGCAGTCTAAGGCTTTACTGGAACATATTGCTACACGTAAAATGATTCAGCACATAACAACTGTTTGCACAGATATAACTGGCTTCTTGAATTTCATATCCACTCTATGAAGAGTTATAGATACAATTACCTTTACCTCAGATGTTATTTCTATTCTTTTTTGACTCTGCTAATTGCAGTATGTTGTAGTTGGGAGGTGAAGAAGGGAAGTTTTCAGAAATCCGAAAAGGCCTTCTCTATGCCATCTTGCATAAATTTCAAGTATAGTAGTAATAGTAAACATAATCGTCGTCATCATCATCATAGCTCATACTTATTAAGCACTGACATAATGTCACATGTTGGGCTAAGTAATTCATTTTCTTCTCACGAAACCCCTGTAAGTTAGATTATGCTGTTATTCACATGTCATAATGTCTTCAAAGTTAGAGCAAATTGTTGTATCTTGTACCTTCTTATTACTAAAGAGGCACAATACCTGGTGGATATCTTTGGAATTTGGATGCAATATAGCCTCATTTAAGTTTATCACTCTTACCCGTTTGCTGAGGAGCCCATAACACTATCGGTTTTGAGTGAGGTTCAGGGCGAGAGAAAACGCTGCAATAATTCCAGATTGCTTTGAAAGCTGTTTGACCACTTGAGACTTGTGATGCACTAGATCCAATCAAGCCTGAAATGACTGTAGCAAATATGGACATTGTATGGTGCTTCTAAGCCAGAAAAGGAAAATTAAAGCACAGAATTCTAGGATTTTAGAGAAAAGTTATACCCTCTTATGGAGATAAATATTCTTTTGGGAGATAGCATCTAGTTTGCCTAGACCTTACTAAAAATACATAACATGGGACATCAAATGACCATGCAATCTGAACTGCTCATCATGAGTGGGGTTTTATCTAGCCACAATATACACACACAGCAGCAATCCATCCTTAAAAAGATATGTGCATGTGTATATATATAGTGTGTGTGTGTGTGTGTGTGTGTGTATGATGTATATATGACTGAGTATAACCAGGCAAAAGTAAGTTCTATGAGCAGGTGGCTTAGACTCCTAAGGCACCAACTTTTACTGCATTCCCTCCTCTCCTGCAGTTCATATCTATAGCTTCGTATGGAATTCCTTTTAACTAGATAACTACAAAAGGAAAACCAGGGCTTGTTTCACAGATGATTTTGTCTAATATGTTAGCAAAACTGGAAGTGGACTGTTGTATCATTGTAACTGCAATTAGTATTGTTCTTGAAAGAAAGTGATGAAGGAAATTCCTCAAAGCCGGCAGAACTTCCAGTAGTATCAGTAGTAATGGTCATCTACTCAGTCTGGCTTCAAACTAAATGAATCTTGATTGATTCTGCCTTATAGTTGAATCAGTGGGCTCCCTTCCACCGGCTAGGAAGTCTGGCTTTTAGCTATGGAGATAGAAACCGCACTGGGAATGAGAGAGTGTTACAGCTTTCAGAGCAGAGGTACTCAGAGGACTGAGTCAGAAACAGGCTGAAAGTTCTCTGCTCCAGCAAAAGGGACACGTGGCAGAACACTAACTGCCTTCCCTCTACTGAGGGTGTGATAAACCTTAAATACTAGAGGAGAAATCCCATGCTTTACAAATAAGCAATTAGGTAAGTAAGACAATTTCAGAGAGTGGCAAATTCTTTAAAAGAAACAAAATAGAAATCAACATATGTGGGCAGACAGTATAAAACAACCAGCAACAGTAACTAGTATTTGAGTGATTAGTAAATTTTAGACACAGGTTCAAGCTGTTTACCTGTGTTAACTCATTCAATCCTCACAAAAATCTTTAAAGGTAATTATTGTTCTTGTTTTACAGATGAGGAAGCTGATGCATAGGGAAGTTGAGCACTTTGTCCAAGGACACAGATGGCAAGTAGAGAAGTCTGTCTGATTGCAGGGTCAAGATAGTCCCAAGGATTCCAACAATCTCCCACTTTCTGATTCCAATTTGTTTATGACCTTCCTGCTTAGCATTCTAACAGCTATCCATTTTCCTTTACAACAAATTCCCATTTTTACTTAAGGTTGCATAATCGGTCCATGTTTCCTGCTACCAAAAGGGTCCTATCAGTATTTATAAATAAAAGAGCAATTTCCACTCTCAGTAGATTTAAACCTGCTTGGAGAGCAAGGCTCTTCTCTTTTCCATGTTAGCCCTAGAGGTCTTTATTTCCATCAGTTACTGAAGGACAAAAAGAGATTGTATGAAGAAATATTTGAAGGATCTGGTGAAGCTGAAGCTGAAACTAAATGGCAGTGTTGGATATTGAAAACAGATAATGATCATAGTGATACTGCTCTATTCTAGACATGGAACATGGGTTTATCTGTAAAATTCCTTATGTTCATATTTGTTTTCAGGGTCCATCTCAATGGAGCTAAATCAACTACTGCACCCTAAGAAGATTTATAGCACGGACTTCAGTCCACCAGCAACCACTTACAAAATCTGCCCTTCCCTTTGAAGATCTCTTCTCCCTCTCTCATTGGCATTTCTCAGCAGACATGTTTACTTTTTAGGGCAGGACCTGCTCATACAAAATGGAAAGCAGGTGACTGAAGTGGAGCTGAATGTAACTATTGCACTTTCTTGGCCCGAGATGATAGAAGACCACACTCTTGCAACTGTTGGAGAGAAGGGGCTTAGATAGATATTGATGCACTCTCCTGTGCACTGTTCAAAAACCCAGTCTTGCCTGGAGATCATGAAGAAGGCACAGAAGTCACAGATGATTTTTTCTTCTGCGTGGAGCTGCCAAAAAGGAGAAAGAGATGAGCATAAACCTGCTAATTTTTTAGTTTTTCAGTTTGTAACCTTTGGAGAACTTTCTCAAGAACCCACTAACCACTGCTTCCTCTTTTTGTGACTACTTCCCTCTGTTCTTTTTTGACTCAGCACACTGTATTTAAAGCAGCCCTATCCTAGTGGAAGGGCTGAAGAAACAGTCGCTGCTAAAGGAGAATCACAGAAATTGTCCATGGACAGGAAAGAGGATAAAGATACATTTTAAGAGTAGTTTGTTTAGATAGTTTCATTCAACTTCCTTCAATCCAAGGAAGAGAAAGAGAAGAATTTATAATTGTCAGGAAGAGAAGAGTTTGTAAATATAATTTTACCTACAAAAAGCAGAGTAGGCAGAGGAACCTGAGGCATCAAAGGGATGTGTAAGAGCCTCCTATGTTGTCAGCATAGTCAGTTACATTCTTTTTTTAAAAAGTATAGGTGTGAGCCACTATGCCCAGCCTTTTGTCAGCTATGTTTTTGATACACATATCTCTTTATTCATCAGCAAGGCACTGCTTTTGTCTTGGATATTAAGAATTTTCTCCTGTAAATGTGTAGCACAGAAAAGAATTAATACTTTAATCTATATACCACCATATTCACTTTGGCAAAAATGAAGCTGCTCTCTAGACTGAGTGGCCCAAGGGTTATAGTTCTCTTGGACAGTGACCCTTAGTCCGTGATTCTGAAATGGTCTTTTTCTGTTAGCAGTTCCCATTTC